GAGAAGGCCCTCTGCCTGGTTTCCTGTAACTTTGCTTCTCGCAGTGAGGGAACCGCCAGAAGGCCCTTGGCGTTGGACCTCAGTGTCCAGGCAGAACAATGGGGGTGGAGATGCTCCTTCAGGTATACTGGAGCTGTTTCACGTGATGTGACTCTGAAGCAGCACTGAAGTTCTCCCATTCTTTTCACCATGATAAACTTCACAGAGAAGCAAAGGTCTGTTGGCTCGGTCCTTAGTTAGCTGCCGCGTTCTTCCCTGATTAAACTGGTTGAAAGGGAATGGTCAGGACAGCTGCTGCTTTAATTGTTGCAGAGAGCAAATTCCTTTTGGCTTCCTGGAATAAATCTAATTTTGTGCCCTTGTATTTTCTCTCTCTTTCTCAAGCAAGGAAAAGCCACTCCTAACTTTTGGACTGAAAACGAGCCTGTTACTCAATCCAGAAACCATCTTGTAGAAATGCCGCGGTCAAAGTGATATGCACATCCGCTTATATGCTTTCTGCAGAGCAACTGTTCACTGTGAAGCTTAAGTGGGGTTTTTGAGAAGACTTGACTGGCACAACTGCTTTCCACTATCAGAAGGATTGTTGAGCACAGAGCATGTGAAAATGACTCCCGATAACCCTAAGGCCTGATCATACAGGCCCCTGGTAGTTGGGGTGTCGGCAAAACTGTATTGAGATGCTGCTTTGTGGTGGCTGTTCATGGTTGCCCCAATAAAAGGTTTACCACACCAGAGACACGCACATATCCTCCATGTGGAGATTCAGTTCTTGCAAAAGGCACTTCAGCAAAAAAAAACAACATACAGAATCGTGCAATGAAAAATTATAAGCACCAACAGTGGAAATTTCCCCGTGTTGTTTTCTTGCTATGAAAATGAGTTGTAGTTGTAGATAATGATTGCATTTTTACTTTTAAAATCTTGTCAGAAGTGTATCGTATCCACTATAATACAGTGCATTGTTTCCTAATGGTCATTGGGTGGGTTTTTTTTACATATTAGTGAACACCAATTGCATATTTTATTCCCTCCCTGCCCCCTCCAATATTGGAATGAATTGTTAATCAAATGTAATAAAGTCTTCACACCCAGGTTGAAAGTTGTATCTGCAATTTCTGGTGCTCAGTACTGGTGCACCTGGGATAACAATCTGTTTCATAAGTTGGATTTTTATTTAATACCTTCAAAGTTCCTGAGCACTGGCTTTTTTGTCACCTTTGCATGCATTCCCCTCCTCTAACTTCCTTTTAGCTGTGAAGGGAAACTCGGCATGGGAAGAAAAACAAGAATGGCGAACTACCTTGGCAGTATAAGCTCTGCACCCCTCTGATAACATGTCAGTAGGGTTTAGCGAGAAATCACAATTAATTTTAGTGCAGGCTCAAAACTAGGAGCCTGCGAATGTCAGTGTCAGGGGGAAATTCCCTTCTGCTGTGTGGAAGGATCATGGGATTAGATGTTGTCTCCCATGAGGACCCCCCCCCCATCCTTTTAGCAAAGAATGAGCTCTGAAGGGATCCCTGGTGGAAAAGTGCCACCCCTTACACTCCAGAAGCTGTCAAAATTCAGGCCTCTTTTGGCCCCACTGCACACTACTACTAAGATTCCTTGGCAGCTAAATGCAGGTTGTATAGCCTTCTATGTCTGCTCTTTCTGGGAGTGGTGAGGTTCTGACCCCACGTACCTAATGGCTACAAGCGCGGATGAGCTTTCTCTACTTCTCTCCTAGCTGCTGCTGTTATCTGCGTGCACACACTCCCTGCTGCGCGATATAGTTTGCAAATGGCTAATTATTTCACCTTGCAAGCCTAGCAACTGCTTTAAGCAGCTTGGCTGGATTGTAAGGTAAAGGTACCCCTGACCATTAGGTCCAGTTGTGACCGACTCTGGGGTTGCGGCGCTCATCTCGCTTTACTGGCTGAGGGAGCCGGCGTTTGTCCACAGACAGTTTTTCCGGGTCATGTGGCCAGCATGACTAAGCTGCTTCTGATGAACCAGAGCAGCGCATGGAAACGCCGTTTACCTCCCCGCCGGAGCGGTACCTATTTATCTACTTGCACTTTGACGTGCTTTCGAACTGCTAGGTAGGCAGGAGCAGGGACTGAGCAACGGGAGCTCACCCCGTTGTGGGGATTTGAACTGCTGACCTTCTGATTGGCAAGCCCTAGGCTCTGTGGTTTAACCCACAGCGCCACCCGCGTCCCTTTGGCTGGATTGTAAGAGGTACAGTGGTGCCCCGCAAGAGAAAAACCCGCTAGATGAAAGGGTTTTCCGTTTTTCGATGCGCTTCGCAAGACGATTTTCCCTATGGGCTTGCTTCGCAAGACGGAAACGTCTTGCAAGTCTTGTGATTTTTTTCGCTCCCCCCCCCCTTAATAGCCTTTTAGCTGCTAAGCCTTTAATAGCCGCTAATCCGCTAATAGCCTTTTAGCCGCTAATAGCCTTTAATAGCCGCTAATCCGCTAATAGCCTTTTAGCCGCTAATAGCCTTTTAGCCGCTAAACCGCTAATAGCGCTAATCCGCTAATAGGGTTGCTTCGTAAGATGAAAAAACAGCTAGACGAAGAGACTCGCAGAATGGATTATTTTCGTCTTGCGAGGCACCACTGTACCAATTACTTGACTGCATGGAAGCCCTTGCTCAGTATGTTCCTCTAGCCTTCTTGCACATGGATCGCGTAAATCATGGGTAGGCGAACTTAGGGGCCTTCTAAATCCGGCCCGTGGATGGTCCGGGAATGAGTGTGTATTTACATGAGTAGAATGTGTCCTTTAATTTAAACTGCATCTCTCAGTTATTTGTGGGGCATAGGAATTGGTTCATATTTTTCTCTCCAAAATATAGTCCGGCCCCCCACAAGGTCTGAGGGACAGTGGACTAGCCCCCTGCTAAAAACGTTTGCTGACCCCTGGCGTAAGTGTACTATAAAAACCAAACCAATAAAGTTCCCTGTGGCTCTTCAAAGCGGAGATGCATCTCAACGTGATTAATGAGCTCGGGCACTCCCATCGTGCTAACTAGCCTCTTGTTCAGAGATGAATAATTTTGGTGTTTCTGCAGCAAAATTGTCTGCCCTAGTCACCTTTGGCTGTAGATAATTTTCTCTTCGATACATTCACAGTAAATCTTGGTCTACTGTAAATTTTTTAACAGGGATCACAAATCATTTTGGGCTTGTAGGCACATTTGCAAACCAGGCAAGCCAGCATGGACATCCTGCCACATAAATGCTTGGCTTATGAGCTTAATTTCATGGAGTGGGGCAGGGAGGAGAGGGCATCCTCTAACTTAAAATTAATGTATTCCTGAACAGCTTTGGCAACACTAGCTTATTCAAATATCACAGAATTCACAGCAGGAATTTTTGAGATAAACGCTAGGCAAGAGCCACTTGTGGCCTCCATTTATTTTTTTCAACTTTCCAGAGACACAAGATGGCGATAGGGACATTTAACTGAACCCAGTGCAGAACTCTGAATGTAGACAACAAATATTGCTTTTAAAAGAACTTTACCAGCTCATGGCCCTGTTGTCTGATAAAGATGTACACTCAAATGGATCAGAATCTCAGCAGTAAATGCTCTACTGACATCCAACATTAAATTCTCCTATTCAGAAGATTTTTATTTCTATTCCTTCTCAGACTAACGCCCCAATTTTACATATTCTTTTTAAATCGTTCTCTAACATGCTTGATCTAAAGTTCCATTTCCTAGTTCTAAATTAGGTTCCTTCCATTTACTGTTTGTATTCTGCAACCACACTTTAAACACTTTTAGCAGAATTTGTCACTGGCAAACGCCTTCCAGTTTTTTTTCTCTTGTGGCACAGCCGCCTTCATAACATACTCGCTTCTATGTGCAGGAAATTTCCGTTTGACTGCTACATTTATGAAGGGAGGCACCTAGCTATAGATGCCCCGAACACCTTATTGGCTAAACAAGCCTTTGTATCATTACAAAATAATACCACTTGGCATAAAACCTACTAGACATTCTATCCAGATACAACCTACCTGAGTTTAATACTCTCAAATTGTGGAGCCCTGATAAAGTTCGGGAATGGATCTTTGAAAAAGACACCTTTTTGGACTCCACTAAGATAAAAAACTCTGGGTTTTCCTACTGGTTCCCCCGAGTAAAAGCAGTCAAAATCTGTGCCAACTACTTGGTGGAGATCACTGATCCCACCCTTCGGAGAGCTTTCACTATGGCACGGTTTCAAACATTGCCAACTGCTTATCTGACCGGCAGATACACAAAAAACCCAGTAGAACATCGTTTATGTCCTTGCCTTATGAAAATTAAAGAGGATCTTACACATTACCTCCTCTATTGCCCCATTTACTCGGGCTTTAGAGACGCATTGCTGCAAATTATACCCAACTCTATAACCAGTCCTGAAGATAGAGTAAAATTTTTGTTAGTTGATGCAAACCCACGCATTACCCATGTGGTAGCGGTTTTTGTGATGAAGGCCATGAAAGCCAGGGAAAGATTTATGGACGACAATGTAAAGACCCCTTCATCGTCTGTTTAACTCGTTGCTCGTTTTCCCTCCTTTTCTATTTTGTGGGAAGAAGGTTTTGTTGGCATAGTATGTAATGAATTTTAATATTTTTAACTATTGTAGTGTTGATGTTTGTGCACAGGCATGGTCCTCACAATAAACGGATTTTGATTTTGATATAGGCTGTGCAAGCCAGATACAAGTTTTGCCATCTCCAGTCCTCTTTATGAGTTCTGCCTTAGCAAATGGAAGCAATATGCACTGCTTCCTGAACCAGCCCTCTGTGATAATAGGGCAGCTCCCCTAATCACTGCTAGAAGCTTAAATCAATTCTGAAGAGACCTCATTTCCCCAACTTACAGGAAATACCAAGGTATGTAATTCAGAGGCAGTATTTAAAATGTGGACAAGTGATGTACATTTCACACCTTCCTCCAGCAGGTTATCCCTCAGCGAATGGTTTTTCCAAAATAAATACTATACGCACTTGAGGTTCAAAAGATGGTTCATTACTTCCTCTTTTAATTATTTTTTGTACATGAACAGTTTTAGCAAATGTTATTTTGAAATGTCTGAAACACCACAGCACATATAGACAATTCTGCATCAGGAAAGTGTAAAGATATTCTTTACTTTGTTGCTTCTGTAGAATCACCTAAAAATGTCCAGAAGCTTAGCTTTGTTTTTCAAGTGGTGCTTTTAAATACAATACATGAACAGGGACATATAAAAATAAAAGTTTAAACGACACAAAGTTATTTAAAAGTGGCTTGTAAAAGTATATAAAATATCATTTGTCTTAAACATCCAATATGATGTAAAATTAACTATTTGTTTTTGGCTAAATGAAGCTATTTTCCCAATTTTGTCTTCTTTTTCTCTGGTTCATTCTTGCCGCTCAGTTGCTTGGCCTGGCTTGGAATACTAATGCCTTGTACCTGGCAGAAAAGGAAAAGGTTAACCATGTTTACTTCGTGTGAAAAGCACAAGCCATTCCCTGCTAGCGTAGGACTTTCAGTTCTGCAATGGAACAACGTCCTGCACACCTGCAAAATGTGTTCTGGGGTTTCCCCAAGCCTCCGGAGCAGATTTAGGGGGCATCAAAGTGGAGAAGTTACATGGCACAGTAATAATTTATTATTATTTATACCCCACTCTGAGCGGCTTCAAACAGAACACTAAAATACAATAACCTATTAAACATTAAAAGCTTCCCTAAAAAGGGCTGCCTTCAGATGTCTTCTAAAAGTTTGGTAGTTGTTGTTCTCTTTGACATCTGGTGGGAGGGCGTTCCACAGGACAGGTGCCACTACCAAGAAGGCCCTCTGCCTGGTTCCCTGTAACCTGGCTTCTCGCAGCGAGGGAACCGCCAGAAGGCCCTCGGCATTGGACCTCAGTGTCCAGGCAGAACAATGGAGGTGGAGACGCTCCTTCAGGTATACTGGACCGAGGCCATTTAGGGCTTTAAAGGTCAGCACCAACACTTTGAATTGTGCTTGGAAACGTACTGGGACCCAGTGTAGGTCTTTCAAGACCGGTGTTACATGGTCTCGGCGGCCGCTCCCAGTCACCAGGTCTAGCTGCCACATTCTGGATTAGTTGTAGTGAAAAGTAGTAGCGCTTGCAGAACTGTTTAGCTGAATGTCAGCCTAATGCTATCAGTTTTTTAAATGAAATAGTCTTGTCACCCAGCTTCGCAACACGTATATTCTAAAACCCTAAACAGAAGTGTTCTTTGAGAGTTGGTGTAGGATAATTCACAATTCAGTGAAGAAAAACTAGACAACAGTTCCCCATTCCTCCCCACCACACTCACACTTGAGAGCAGAGTGGTCCAATATGTGGCCCTCAAGGGCTTTTTTGTTGGCCCTCGCTTCCCCCACTCCACCCCAGCCCTCCTGCTGTCTTTCCAAAGCTGGGGGAGACACTGGTCTTTGGTAAGGAGTCATGAGGGCTCTGCCAGGATCCTAGAGTCCTCCATCCTCCTTCCCAAAGCCTGCCCCCCCCGCCTGACAAGGCAGTGTGCATCCCACAGGTTCAATGTCGAAGTACTCTTGAAGCCCACTTGGTATGAAAAGTTGGACCGCCTTGTTCTAGTGACCAACAAACAGAACCCACGATACAGATAGGAACCGGCTTGATTCTTAATGGGAGTCACAAGAGACTGGCAGTACGTTTTCACCCCCAGTACACCTTATTCCTATTGGAAAAAGTAATGAACAACACTACATCCACTTAACTGTCAGGGGTCCTTTACTTACTTTTACCTATCTCCACTTATACTAGAGAAAGCAAAGTGTTGTTGCACAGAGATAAAATTGTGTGGCCTCCTCTGACCCTTATCAACAGGTATTTTTATATAAGAGTGGAATGTGGTTTTTTCTATGCAGATACATCCTATACCTTCAAGCAGCCATTCAAATATACAAATCCTTGCTACTTATGTATGAGCCAGCAATTTGATGGGAACTTTGCTGGTGAGTGAAGCTGCAGCAGCTGGATTTAAATCACCCTGAACCACCCCCTGTGTTTTTCCCAAGTCCCCTTTTAATTCCAGTGGGAACCTTAGTTCCTTCCCACCAGGTCAAAATAATAAAAGGAAGCTTGTGCCACATTTTCCCCATGCCAACCCATTTAAGAAAAGTAATAGATAACGTATTCCTAGGTGTTTTGATCCAAGAAGGAACCTCCAAATCTGTCTCTAAGTTTGCTTTCAGATCTACTTCAAACCAATAAGCAATGCTTTGACTTCTCCTTGTCACCACACTGCTTTCAGCTACTACGCCAGTAACCTACCTTGGGCTCCACCAGGGCCATACGGATTTTCTGGTGCTGAATATTGGAAGCATCTAACATGATGTTCACTATAACCTTGTCAAACGTATAGAAAGGTGTGCCTTCCACAGTGAGAGAGGGAATCTAAGAAAAGAACATATTTTTTTCCCCTAGTTCAATACAGAATTGATACACTGAAGGATAATAAATAGTAATAACATTTAAAGTATTTAAAGCATAACATTTGAAGTATTTAAAGCTTTGGCTTTCAGGTAATATGCAAACTATACCAAGCCCCTAAGGAAAGCAACAGCTGCATATAAGTAATTTGCACTTCTAACAGAGCAATCTATCTACATTCCTTCAATCAGCTTAACAAAGCATGCATAAAATGAAACACACACAAATAGCACACACACAGCCCTGAAACCAGTTTCCCTTGTAACATAGGTAAAGGTAAAGGTACCCCTGCCCATACGGGCCAGTCTTGACAGACTCTAGGGTTGTGCGCTCATCTCACTCTATAGGCCGGGAGCCAGCGCTGTCCGCAGTCACTTCTGGGTCACGTGGCCAGCATGACAAGCTGCATCTGGCGAGCCAGCGCAGCACACGGAAACGCTGTTTACCTTCCCGCTAGTAAGCGGTCCCTATTTATCTACTTGCACCCGAGGGTGCTTTCGAACTGCTAGGTTGGCAGGCGCTGGGACCGAGCGACAGGAGCGCACCCCGCCGCGGGGATTCGAACCGCCGACCTTGTAACATATCTAATGCTAAACTTAGAAAAACACACATTAAACTTAGTAAGTTTGAAATGCTTCTTAGTGGTTAGGAGTTGTTCCTACTGCGTTTCTAGATTTTGCTATTTCTCAAAATCAGCTTCAACTTTGATGCCACATTAGTTTCAGACATTCAGTCTAAAACTCTGAACATGCTTTGCATAAGTGGCAGCTGGGCTTTGTGTGATGTCCCAACTAAAAAGACCCCATACAAAAACTAAGACGCCTTACCTCCTCATTGTACAGAAGGGTTGGTTTTGGTTTGTCTTTTTCTTCAAAGAAGACGGTGCCTTCCAAGCCATATTTGGGAATCAGAACGACAATTGCGTTTTTCCGTACAAACAGGATATACGCCTCTTCATTCACCACGCCTTTGTTTTTGAAAAACAACTATGGTAGGGAGAAATTGAAACCATTTTTGTTGTTTAACTATAATAAATATAATAATGCATTTTAGGTGCCAGGCAAAGTATTTATATTTGTTTACTTAATTTGTATAAATATAATAAATAAATAAATAAATAAATAAATAAATAAATAAATGATACTTAATAATAATGATTATAAATGATTATCTTCACTGAAACCCTAGAAGAAAAGAAGGAGGTTTCTTCTACAGTGAAAGGCAGCACCCAGATGAAGTCATTAATTAATCCCACTCCCTTCCAAAGTGCTTAGACAAATACTTTGAATTTTATATTGAATAGATAAACCACTGGTGTTTTCCTTCCTGGCATTGAATATGCTGAGATGTGCGGGGGGGGGGGCATATGGATGCACTTCCTAGCAGCTCTTCTTTCTCTAGCAAATGACTGACCACACTGTCCTTCCACTCACTTCTGAAACAACCAACACGCCTGCAGAGTCCTATGCAGAAAGGCGGGGACTCTGGGCAGTTTTGAATATGTATAAGAAATAGAAATGAACCGTCTTTTTACACAACACTCTTAAGTTTTCAGGGGGGAAAAAGAATATTGCAGGCACTATGGAAAGTATAATCTATTCAAATTTAAGGCCATTTCAGTTCCACAGATATCTATGGCAGAGTTAAATGCATGCTTAATTCTCTCCTCTGCCAAAAATTAAGAGGACAAGTGCTCTTGATTTGGGCTGGATCATTCTTTAAAAGCATGCTTCTCCAAAGTTCTAAAGATTCACAATGTAAATATAGCCATCAGACCAACAGCAGCTTCAAATTCCTAAGTTTCCTGTTTGTTCACAGCACAATATTATTCATTATGATGCACTGCCTAAACTGTCGCAATGAGAGAGTGAGTTTCCAAGCGACCCATCCCCCAATTGCTGGCACTTTGCTGAAATTAAGCAGGTATGATCAATGGGAAGAAGAGGATATAGTTCTTTGGGAGGGTGGAGTTCATTTTGCCTCATCTTTTGACTCAAGAATCCCCCAAGACTGCAAACAGTATAAAGCCATTTAAAAATCACAACATCAAGGTGAAGCAGCCATCGCTCCAGCACTCCTTTGATCCCAAATGCTTTGTGGAAGAAGACAAACATTCACCTGAGTGTGGAAGGCAACCGAAGCTCTCTGGGCATACTGAGCCATTTTATGCCTGTAATTTAGATTCTTGCACAAATCTGCCAATTTATGTTTATCCGTGAGGTCAGGATAAGTGCTGTCTGCCCCTATGGCCACAGCCAGCAGCCGATGTACTATAATATCAGCATACCTGCAATGAAAGAAGAAAACATTCGTCACTGGCAAGTGAGAGCCAACTGCAGTTTGTTTCAGGTGCACAGAAACCCTTGTTAAACATTCAGGTTTTGCAGCTCGCATCTTCTGCAGTAGTTCACTTGTAAACTATAAGTAATGAAGGAAGAGCAAAGGTGTGCAAATAAAAACCTTGCAAAGTGTCAGTCGCTCCTCACAGGAGTATCTCTCTTCAGGGCTTAAGCTTGCCTGGGAAAGAAACCCTGTAGTTCTGTTCAGGGCTCATGGTAGGGCTGGTGGAGAGGACTTTTTCCTTTCTTGCTATCCTGAAATCTTCCTCTGTTATACAATATGCTGAGGTTTGGGGCCAGCTGCCAATCCCAAACTTGAGTACTTTTGTTGCTGTTTAGTCATTTAGTCGTGTCCGACTCTTCGTGACCCCATGGACCAGAGCACGCCAGGCACTCCTGTCTTCCACTGCCTCCTGCAGTTTGGTCAAACTCATGCTGGTAGCTTCAAGAACACTGTCCAACCATCTCGTCCTCTGTCGTCCCCTTCTCCTTTCCCAACATCAGGGTCTTTTCCAGGGAGTCTTCTCTTCTCATGAGGTGGCCAAAGTATTGGAGCCTCAGCTTCAGGATCTGTCCTTCCAGTGAGCACTCAAGGCTGATTTCCTTCAGAGAGGTTTGATCTTCTTGCAGTCCATGGGACTCTCAAGGGTCTCCTCCAGCACCATAATTCAAAAGCATCAATTCTTTGGCGATCAGCCTTCTTTATGGTCCAGCTCTCACTTCCATACATCCCTACTGGGAAAACCATAGCTTTAACTATACGGACCTTTGTTGGCAAGGTGATATCTCTGCTTTTTAAGATGCTGCCTAGGTTTGTCATTGCTTTTCTCCCAAGAAGCAGGCGTCTTTATTTGAGGTGGGGGGGAGAGATACTGAAGTGTGAAAAGAGGAGGGAGTATTCTCCCTTTTCCTATTCATGATTTCCCCCTGGAAATAGCTCATGAAACATGTCCACTCCACTCAAATCTTACTTCCAGATTCATTTCTCCCAAAAAACTCTCCATTTAGTGCAAGGAGGAGCATTTTCTTAACTTCATGGCAAAAATCTGATAGTGCACGTTTAAAGTACATGGCACATTTGATTTCTGTATTTTGTGGAAGGTTAAAATCCAAAGGTAAAAATACCAAAGCAGTTTCAGATTTGAAGAACTTGCTTACATCTATTTCTCCAAAAACCATGCCATGTCATTTCAGTATATGAAACAGGACTTCAAAGGTTTCTGGCCTGTTCTCCTAAAAGACTGCTGAGGAAAGTCTAGCCTTTTTATAAACTACATTCTGGGGTTATCCTTTGTGTGTTCACACAGGTCCCCCTTGAAAGCAGTTACAGCTATGGGGTGGGGCTGTTTCTGCATGATCTAGTCCTATGTGGCTGGAGGCTGAATGTGAATTAGAAAGTCACATGCGTCTTTTCCTAAAGTCTGATGGGGTAGGCGTTCGTGTGCGTGTATAAATGACACAGGCAGTACGGAACCAATGAAGCTCTTTTCATCCTAATACATCTTGTGATATTTCTGCTTGTATTGCAGATGCTTCATGCAACAGTCGTCCAGACATTTGACGGCATTTCCCTATGCTTTCATTCTACCGCTATCAGTATTGTAGAAATGCGTACTCAATATAAATTTAAAGGGTATGGGAATTGAGTAGGACAACCCCCTCTCTTTCCTCTCCATTATTCCTTCCTTCTGCTCCTCCTCAGCTGATATACTCAGCATTCAATAAGCCCTGGAGGCTCAAAGGCTCTTAAAGACTTTGCATCAATCAAGATTCCCTTGCCGTTATTTATTCTATCCTTTTTCAACAAAAATAAAAAATAAAAAAGCATAAACTGTTCAAAATTCTGCAAGACAGTCCCAAGGTATGCAAAGAAAGAATAGAAAGGAAGAAGACAATAGGCACTTTTGCCATATTTGCACAATTTGTAATAAAACTTTAGTATTTGAACTAACGAAAGCAACACTGAAAGTAATTTATCCTAGGGTGATTTGGTAGAATGTGGCAACTGTTGAACTATATTTTTAACAGGCTGCAACACACACATTTTTTTCCCCTTTCAAAATTTCATGGAGATTACCTTCTGATGGGTGAAGTAAAATGTGTATAAATAGGAGAGGCTAAGCCATAGTGACGAAAATCGGTGTCCATTCCAGAGCAAAAGTAAACGGCTTGCATCATGCAGCGAGTAGCCAAGATACGTAACAGAGTGTTCAGGTAAGGAAAAGAAGGTGATTCTGCACTGTCAAGAGAATCAGCCAGGGCTTTTGCTGAGTCAGTTTTGATGTCCAAACCCTACAGAAAAAAGAAGTGGGGGCGGGGGGAGTTGCTTTCAATATTTCCCAACACTTTGCCATGGTTTAAATATGCATTATTGAACACATTTGCTGATGCAGGCCAAGGAACTGACATATGACACCCTGAGCTCCTCAGGGGAAAGGACTACATGCAAGATGACAAATAAACCACAATAGCATCTGTTCAAACTCACAAACTTAAGAATCAATATGGCTTCCCTCAACAGGGGTTCAAAGCCAAGGTAAAGGAAATAAGAGATGGCCAAGCCATATCCTTGTTGTACACAACTCAAGTGCTCGTGAACTTAAGTTAAATGTCAAAAGGACAAGGACTCTGAGGCCTGTGCAAGCATACAAAGCACTGTCTTGTGCACACAGGGAGCAAACTCCTTTTACTACCTCCAAATTCTAGAACAGACAGGGAACGGTTTTCCACTCTGTGGGCCAGATCTTTACCAGGATCTGTCTCCCAAGCTGAATTTGACAGGTGGGCAGGGCTGCCCATCTATCAATCACCTGATGTCACAAATGATGTCAGCAGATTTGCTGCCAATGTGGAGAGGGGGTGGGAATCCTTCTTACCTGTTTTGCACATTACTTCAAAGGCTCCAGACAATTATTGAGTGCTTTGGAAGTTGTTCAAGTGGGCTTTGGTGAAGCCCCACCCTTTTGGCCAAGCCCTGCCCTTTACCTGGGCTAGCGTGGCTTGCCCCCAAATTTGGTCTAACGGGCCAAATGGGTAACTCTGGTGGGTCAAGACTGAACTGACCCATGGGCTGGATATTTAGGAGTGGCCCTGGGATTGAGGTGCACAAACACTTTCTGGTTTGAAAAGCCAGAGTACAATGATCTTCAATAAGAGGGACAGAACCCCTTACAGGGTTGCAAGGCAGCAGCACCACCATGCAGTAAAACAATTAAGTGGGTTCCCAAATGCATGTGAGCTGGGTCTTGGGTCTGCAAAGTTGTCCATGTGTGAATCAGCGTGGGCCACCTTTAAATAACTCATTTAAATTACCGTATTTCAACAAGTGAAAATCCAGACACAAAAGTTGTTTTTTGCAAAGTCTCACAAAAAAAAAGCCCGGATGTATGGTGAGACCTCCCCTCTCTCCATGACCTCCTCAGATCTGCTCTGGAGGGGCAGGAGAATCCCAAGAACAGTTGGTAGGGAACAGAAGGGAAAGTAGAAATGTGTGTGCCAATGGAACAATTTCCTTAGCGCTAGCTGAATACAACTCCACGTGAGGTATTCTGATCCCAGTTAAAATCTGAAAGATAAATATACTATCGGTTAAGAACTTGATCCTTTATCCATTCAATTCCAAGCATTGATAACTTGCCTTAGACTTTGCAGCCTTCACAAGGATGTCATAATTTGATGGAGGTGGAGCAGGATGCTTTCTTAGCAAGGCATGCTCTGAGAATTCATCATAGATCTTTTGTGCCACAGAGATGTTAGCAAGCAACATGAACTCTTCAACCATGGAGTTGGTTTCTCTGTCAACAGGAAATATTACACTTATAAGAAGAGATGCCATCATGGAAAGCGATAGTTAAAATTTGATATGTTTGTTCTGGGGAAGCACAAAGAATTCACTCTTGCATATTTTATACATGATCCACAAATGCCCTTTAGACACTGTTCCCTGTCCCTGTGACCTAATGTCAGTTTTGATGAACTCTGGAGTGTGTTTGTTCTAGTGGACAGGCTCAGCTACCAGCTCTGTTCAGCACATTGCTTGTGTAGCCAAAATTAGATGTGTACATTTAGAAGCTGTAGACTATAGCTTATAAAATTTAGATTTATTGCTTGGTTATATTGTAAAGTGCCACATACACTAATGGTTCTCTGTAAGTAAACAAAAATAATAACATTATCATTAAGTCCATGTTCACAATTTTCCAACCGTCCCGACTTTTCCACAGAACCACCTTTTTTCTGAACGCTCTAAACAGAAGTGTACTATAATATATTCATAAGCAGTCCACATTCTGTTATTTATCTTGACGGTATGCAACATATACTGTTGACTGCTTTGATATTTTGAAGTGGCCTCTGGTGTGGAGAGCTGCACTGTGCACGTCATACTTCCACTTGTGAACAAATAATTCGACTGCAGTGAAAACAGGAGATAAAACATACTTGAGCTCCTTTGTCTGTAAATCAATAGGATCGTGGGTTTCACTATCCATGTGGAAACGAACTTCAGGTGAAGAGAGAGTTAAAGCCCTAGAAAGTAATAAATGTGAGAATAGTAAAATATTTTACAGAGCCTATACATCATACAAACAAGTATCTGAAGGTATAAAATGATGGCAATAATTACAATTTTCTACTGATATTTAATCCATCTTTGGAAATTGCTATATTCGTTGCAACATTATCCTTGTGGCAAGGAGTTCCAGAGCTCACTTTTCTTCATGCTAAATTCAGCCATTTGTTCTGGATGTTTTGTGTCCCAGCATCTCCGTATTAGTCAGTGGAATGTCCCCTTCCTCTCCTCTCCTCCTCAAAAATCTTATCCAGAGGGTCCCCCAACCCTCTGCAGATTTTGAAGGTGTGTAGGGCCAGCTGGCAAGTGGAATGACAGCACTGGATACCACACCAAATTGTTCTTCTTCTTGTTGTTGTTGTTATCATCATTAATCTTTCACTTCACTTTCTAATTTCCTTCCACACCTTCTCTGTCCCTTTCCCCTCAGAGAAGAGAGGCATTCTTTCCCACCTCCGCTCACGCCAAACTTCTTTTGCTTCTTGGTCATCTATATTCAGCATGCAAGGAGTTCCTGGCGCTGGGATGGGTCCAACGAACAGGCTATGGCACAGTTCGGGGGTGCAGGAGATGGGAACCCTGAGGCCCATCTGAAATTGGCTTTATAAATGCACCAAACACTCACATTTGGGACTGCTGCAAGTTGCAGGGTGTCATGGTGGTCATGGTTAACCAGTCTTTCAAATAAAGTTGATCTTGTTATTGAGAAACATATATTTCTGTGGAATTTCAGAGCTGTATGAAAACTACTGTGCTATCTTATCTGCTGTTGTTTTCTTTAGGGCAGACAACAGGAAGATCTACTCTAGCAAATGCTAAGTGGTTGTATTGGGTCATAGTGACTCCACATGAATGAAAAGCTGTGCAGAAGAAGACCTTCAGTAAAAACTACTTACCCGTTATCTATCCGACGCTTCTTAAGAATTTTGGCTAGTTTATTTAGTCCACGCAGACTAGAAGTAATGTCATCGTTCAGGCTGGAAGAATCTATTTTCATTTGTGCCTCAGCATATGTAAGGGAAGCCTTTGGACAGAAATAGATAATAAAAGAAACGCAATCAATATAAGGGCACCAGTGACGATTCCTAAGAACCCCATCTCAATCTGACAGAATTCAAAAATCAATTTCTGATGAAAGTTTGAACTGGGCAACCTTCAGTGGTTTTACAGCACTAACTGAATGCATAGACAACAGGCTTTGCTGTTGATTTTGATCCATCTTGTCTGCTACTCTTGTCTTTTTGTGGCATGTATCAAGCTCACTTATATTTCCTTTACTGAATCGTAATTGTATTTTCATTGCTTTTTTGTTCACCACCTCTGGATGTAAAAGTAACATACACACTTCAGTATACAAATAAGTAAATAAATAATATTTTTCAGGGCGCCAAACATAGCAAAATGTAGTTTAGATTGTAAGTAACATCCAATGTTAAGACACACTCAAGTAGAACCACTGAAATCAGTCAACTTAAATCCATTTAAGTCTACTCTAAGTATGATTTAGCTTTGTCCAGATCTATTGCTGAAGAAACAACCAACGTGATTTCAGCCACTCACATTATCTGGACTGGACAGTATATATATCAGGTAAACAAACTTGGAACTCTCCCATTTTTAGTGTCTTATGTGTAAACATATTCAATGCCACAATATTAAGCAGGAATTCAAAATGGCACAATTCAGCATGTGTTGTTAAATATTCCAAATAAATGCGAAACCTTACCTTGGAATTAATTACACTTTTTGTAAATCTAGTTTTCAAGATTTCAGCATTGTGATTCATTTCCCATATACAGGAAAATGCAAGCCTAGGAAAGGAGTAAAAAGTTGCTGATGAAACAGGAAACTTTACTTGCAGCTGTCTTTGATCCTAGGGTGCTCTTGCCTGAGAAGGCGACACTTCTGTTCAGGGAACCCTGCTCCCTCCTCTGCAGTTTCTATGGAACACTCCACCCCCCAGCGCTTCTTGCTGCAGCCCCCCCAACCCTGGCACCCCATGTCGTCCACTTCAGGAGGATCCCACAACCCTCGTGAAATGGATCCTTGGAGAGTGCAGGACATCACAGTGAGAACAGTGACGTGGAAAGACCCATTCTGTAAACAGAATTGTTTTCTGTTTACAGATGAGAAGTTATTCTTAAATATCTAAAAACAGTATTCACACAATTACCTGTCAACATTGGATCTCAACGAACACAGGTTTGAACTGAGCAGCTCTGGAACCATATCAATCCTCTGCAAAAACACACAAAAAGATGACTATGGTTATTTATGACCAAAAAAATCATATATATTGACATAGTGTACATGTATAGAACTGTACTCGTGTTGTTAATTTGATCAAGGATATCTTGTTAATCAAACGCTACCTTTCTCACATTACATTTCCTATTTTTCAGCCAAGCCCTGGATATGGTGCCTTCAAAGCCCCTTTCAGAGTGCAGGGCAAGAGAGAACGAGAAGAGGTTATGAAGAAGCCACTGGAAGCTCCTCTCAAAAAAGCCCTCTCTCGCCCTGTGCTCTGAATGGCGCTTCTGAATGATGTCGAAGCCTTAAAAAATAGCCCTTTGAAATGAGCTTCTGTAGGCAAAAAGGGTCACCCAATGTCAGGTTAAAATCCAGTCAAAAGGAAAGTCTTATCGTGATGAAAGTACAATAGACAATGCTTTCACGCAATTTTGACTCAACCAAGGTTGTGTTTTGGTCAGTTCTCTACCCTTGGGATCCCAGCAACTGCTAATTTTTGGTTAATTCTTTTACTGGGAAACTGTTATTCAATAGTATGATTAGTTAGCTTCAGAAATATAATGCATTTCATGTCTGGAAGAAACCAATACCGGGAATTAAAATGCCACCTGAAGGGTAAATAAATACAAACAGGAAAATATACCTTTTCACACAGATACACAGTTGTGCCCCTTTTTGCAGATTCCTGGTCCAGGGCATTTCCCGGACGAATAAAATGGCTGACATCTGCTATGTGTACACCAACCTAGTAAATAAAGAGGTTATTCAGAATTTCCAAAAGTCGGCATTTTATGAAACTTCTCGCTACCTCAAGCCATCAATCAAAAACATAAACAGCTCTGCTGTGTACTATATAACCCTTTACTTTTAACTTTCCATGTTTCTTGAAGTCATTAGAGAGATGTTTTGTTGCTAAACTTGTCAATAACAGTGCAGCGGCACATGCTTCAGAAGAAATCAAACAGTAAAAAAGGAAAAGGTAAAGGACCCCTGGATGGTTAAGTCCAGTCAAAGGCGACTATGGGGTGTGGCGCTCATCTCACTTCAGGCCGAGGGAGGTGGCGTTTATTCACAGACAGCTTTCCGGGTCATGTGGCCAGCATGACTAAACCACTTTGGCACAATGGAACACCATGATGGAAGCCAGACTGCATGGAAACACCGTTTACCTTCCTGCTGCAGTGGTACCTATTTATCTACTTGCACTGGTGTGCTTTTGAACTGCTAGGTTGGCAGGAGCTGAGACAGAGCAAAGGGAGCTCACCCTATCATGGGGATTCGAATGGCCGACCTTCCGATCGGCAAGCCCAAGAGACTCAGTGGCTTAGACCACAGTGCCACCTGTGCCCCTATAAATCAAACAGTATAAGCCTATGCATTATCTACTCAGAAGTAAGTTGACTTCAATTGTGCATAGAACTACAGAGTTTAAGTGTGGAACTAGAAAACCAGGAACTGAAACACCCTGGGCACAAGCACAGTGAATATATATTAAGCCACGGCAGCACCCCTACATTTATTCACACAAGCCTGCCTTCAAATACACCATGTGTGTAAATGGCTGTAGTACTGCAGCTGAAGAGTGTTCAATAGTTCATAGAACAGAATGAAAGTATATCTAAATGCAATCCACAAACCTGAGCATAATAAATAGATTTATAATGGAAGAAACTGTTTGTGTAACTGCTTCTTACAGAGCAATAAGCCTTTTCCTCTTGCTTTGGGTTCTTTTATTCTCCTACCCTCACAGGCAGAAAACAAAATGTTCAAGACCTAAAGGATGACTTAGATATACAGGCAAAAATGCATGTCAGCCTTCACCTGACATTTGACTTACCTCTAGATTTCCATTTTCCAGCTTTCTACAGTGCAATGCATCGTCAATATCAGTACAGCCAGGGGGATCCACGCTGCATACACACAAATGCCTCAAGTCCTCTCTCAACTTCATATCCTGAAATTATGTTTTCCAACAAACATTTTATAAACTACTACAGGCCGTTATAATAATTATGAAAAAAAAGTTCACCATACTGAAGAAACTGCTTAATTATAAAACCTGGTAATTAAGACGAGTAACCTTGGAATGATGCAGCAAACCTTTTGTGATGCAGCAAAAACAGCATGGAAGCTTGCAGCACAAAAGACCATGAACTTATTTTGGCATACATAAGCCACAGCCAGTTTTTCAGAAGCATAAACTGGTCACTTAAAAAGGTGTATAAATCAAAGGCTGGATGATGCGGAGCTATACCAAAATTTCGTAGCTGGTGGTGGAGCCTGCTCGCCGTTAAATTTCGGCATAACCCCTATCTACCGCTCTCCGTCCTACTTAACATCGCTTATGGCCGCGTCTCACCGATATGCCTTCATTAGGGCTAGGTTCAATGTCTTTCCAACAAACGTGCTGAGACATAGATTCACTAAGGGCCAAGTCCCTTCAATGTGTGCTTGTGAAATGAAAACATCTGAATCTCTACATCATGTTATGTTTATCTGCCCTTTAAACCCCATAATCCAGCCTATGGCTGACAAACCAGTAGACCTACAGCTTGCCTGGGTACTTCAAGATGTGGATCCTTATATTACCCTACAGGTTGCTAAATTCCTAACAGCCGTCCTCTCGTACAAGAGACGGAACGGAATGTTAGCTGATTATTGATAGTCATAAGAATTTTCTATAATGACATCAGATATTGTTTTTAGTGTAGTGCTAAAAAATTTTAATCTTAATCTTAAACTTTTTTTTATGAATGGCTAATATCCGTCCTTGTGAGTTGTGAACTGTGTTATACTACTTGTGGTTTGTATGAGTCTGCTGTTTTATTTGATTTGTTTTGTTGTGTTGTGCTTCATGATGGGCGTAAAGCCGAATAAACATTTGTTGTTGTTGTCACTTAAGCAAGTAGGTATACAGGATGTGACTAGAAAGAGAAGAGCACACTTAATTAAAAAAACACCTAGAGATGAAAGGCCAATCAATACGAGAGCAGGAAATATGCCATCTTACTATGCAGAACACAAATAAATACAAGTATTAATAAAACTGATGCAATATTGAATCAGAAAGGTACAATGCAATCCAATGCGACTTGGAAGATTAACAGTTTAAAGAAACTGTTTTAAAAGGGAGAATTACCTCCTGAAATGACAACTGTTATGCAATAAATTTGTGGGAAAGCTGTGGACAGTTGATAGCCATAGTTAAGGATACTCTGCACATAAAGTTCATTTTAATTTCATAAAAGAAACAGTCTGAAATTGACTTTGATGAGGTTTCAATCACCTTGGAGAAACTTAGCGGCTAATTTCTGTCAGCTTGAGACAATTAAAGTGCAATGAGTAGAATCAATGTTTGCAGGGAGGCAGAGGTTTTAAAAAAAACCCAAGAGTTTAAAATCCCTCATTATTATGGAAGTGAATCTGAATAATCACTTTTCTATTTCCATTATTAATCATTGTTCCCGCTGCAGCACAAATTGCATTGCAAATCTATGGTGATGTTAACCAATTAGTACTTCTGAACATTATCAGTGCTTACTGTACCTGGTCAGTAATGCTCCAGGGCATCTTGGGCAGGAAGCTAAGAACCGCTTGGGAGAAAGCTTGGTGGGGAACATCATGTTCAAGCAACAGGACTTCAGTCTCAGTCTCCTTATCTCCAGCTGTTCCTAAATTCTTTACAAAATGCCCCTAAACCAATACAGGCCTTCATTAATATTATGAAACAATGCCGTTTTGGAAAAAATATTAATATTAAAGACTATTAAAAATAAATATTATTGTAGGTAGCAATCCGATGTGCAACGTACTTGGGATGTGAAATTCTCACTACATTCAGTAAGAATTATTCCCAAGTAGGCATACATCGGATCAAGCACTTATTTAAGTATATCAGCTTCTGTGTTTCTGAATCAGGATATGAGCAAAAACAGGTTCCATCACAGACTTGGTGACCACAGTCACAAGGCTTAAATAATTTTGTAAACAGGATGATAGGTAAAGGGTAAAGGGACCCCTGACCAGTCGTGGCCAACTCTGGGGTTGCAGCGCTCATCTCGCTTTATTGGCCGAGGGAGCCGGCGTACAGCATGACTAAGCCGCTTCTGGTGAACCAGAGCAGCGCACGGAAACGCCATTTACCTTCCCGCCAGAGTGGTACCTATTTATCTACTTGCACTTTGACATGGCTTCGAACTGCTAGGTTGGTAGGAGCAGGGACCGAGCAACGGGAGCTCACCCCATCACGGGGATTTGAACCGCCGACCTTCTGATCGGCAAGTCCTAGGCTCTGTGGTTTAACTCACAGCGCCACCCGTGTCCCTCTAAACAGGATGGTAAGTTATGGTAAATGCCTTTCAGGCCACACATTGCCTACCAGTATATACAACAAAAGTAGTTCAAGTTAACCTCTTCCTTTTGTAATAGTTTGATTATCAGGTTGATTCATTAAATCTTCAGAGGCAATTAATTTCCTTTCAGACTTACATTAGGATATCTCGAAGTCCTAGGCCAGCCATCAATAGCAACGATAATTCTTTGCCCTTCTAGTGTTGAAGCCTGCCTTGTTTCTATTCGGATTCGAGGGATTCTGCGATCAGCTGGTGTAAATAAATGTCGCCTTGCCTGTTAGGAAGCAGGGGGAATGGCTTTTATTGAAATTAGGGAATTCAGGTAGTGAAGAAAGTATTCCGCAACTGTTGCTCTTACCTCTTTTATTTGGGACTTAGAAAGCATGCCACAAAAAGGCCTCCAGTTTCTTTTTATGATGCCCACAACTCTGCCGGTTGGGCGCAGCATGCTCTTGTTCCCAGAGGTCTTCAGCTAGGTTTAAAAACGTATATAATAAATATAAACTGCAATTATATAAACAACCAGGTTCCCCAACCTGCCATGCTTTAGTGGTAAGAATGTTCCAGGTCACACCCCATATTATGACATCATTTGAACTACTCTTTGACATAAACTTCCCTTAAAGCATTCTGAATAGAATACTGTAACGATTCATTTACGAGCCAGGCTGGCTTGTGTAATTCTACACAAGCACAGGATTTGGTTTTGTTCACTTATTAAGTATTGTGATAACTTGCGTTTCAATCAGGAAAACAAATTACAATAAAATAAAAGGCAAGTTTCTAGCATTTATAGCCACAGAGATCCCTTGAAAGTGTGTGGATGGAAATTTAAAACGTCAAAAGAAGTTTAAGATTTCCCATGAGCTTTTGCAGCTCATGGAGCTCCTTCTGCCTTTCCAAGACTAGGAGCAGAAGAAGAAAATAACATTCTGCACTAATCTAGACCAAAATCTATACCATGAAAAACTATATTCTGCAACTAAAAAAGTATGGAAATAAACAAAATATCCAAAAGTACTCTCATTTTTTCTCATTAACTCAGCACCTGCCAGTCCTAGGGAGTTGTATGAATTACCCTGTGTGGAAGAGAAGGGTAAACTCAGGGAAGGGCAACTCTTAAAGACTTTTTTTCAGAGCAGGGTCATTCTCCCATTCAATCTGTATGTTCAGTTTCCAGACATGCTCTTGTATGGATCACTTTTATTTCTTGCTCTGAGTTTGAATCAAGGAAAGAAATAGCTTCTGGTCGAGGAATAGAGAGTTGTATGCTTGTGTGTGTGTGTGTGTGTGTGCGTGCACGCATGCACCTTATTTTGTTTTTGTATGTTGGCATGTTATTTTTGGACACTCCATGGAGATGTGGCTATGGGGGGGCACCACTTCAAAAGTTATCACTACCCTACTGTGTATGCCTTGGCCTCAGAAAAATCTTCTGAAACTCCAGCTAAATTTGAAGATTTCATCAAGCACTGCCCACATTTTCAAGACCATTCTTCTAGGGTTGCCATATTGCCAAAAAGGGGGTGGGGAGAAAGGTCAACAACTTTGGCTGATTTTCACTTTTGGGAATATCACAACCCTACATTTGCCAATTAAGTGAAAATCCGCCTGGACGACATTTTGACAGTTTGATTCCCGGACGTATGGCAGCCCTAATTTTTCTAGCTGGAATGCTGCTTTTGAAAATTTAAGATGGAATTCTGAGAATGCTAACTTTTGCACCTTTTCCCCCAATGCATGCATGGAGTCACAGGACACATGAATCCAAATAACTGACTGCCAAATCAATTAAGATGTACACACGGATGAAAACAGTCATTGCAATAATAGGAGCCAAGTGCGGAAGAATAGAGAAACCTGGCATGTTCATGTCATACACTGTTTTCCTTCTGTTCTTCTTTTTCCACATCATCCTCTTCATCCTGACCCGCCTCATCAAGCAAGACCACAGAGGATGGTGCAACCCAGGCATCTTTTGATAACAGCTCCACAGCTACGATGTCTTCATGCACTGCGCGATTTAAATTTCTAAGCCCTTGTATTAATACCTGTAAGCATCAAGCAAACAATCCGTTTTAAGGATAATAGTCGCCTTATGAAATCACATATTATCCCATAAAAATAGTAGAGGGATTCCCAGCTGTAAACTTGGTTATCCATGTGCCTTGGGAGTATTGTCTCCCAAGGGGAGGGGGGCTGGATGAGTTCCAGAAAAGGCCTGGAGAGGGAAATGTGCATTGACCCACTGCTAATTGCAGACTGGCCACTACAGTCAGAGTTACATCTCCTAGCTTTCTTCAGTGGCCCAGTGCAAATGTAACCATTAACCAGAATTAAGTGAACAAAGCTCATTTAGGATTAAGATCCCAAATGTACAGTGAAGCCATGGTTGAGCTTCAATAGAAAAATGTCGGTATGATCCGCTGATTGCCTTGCAAGCCAGAAGTGGGAAATCTGTTTTTACAACATTCTTCGCTATGCAGATGCAACACTTAACTATAAAACTTAAACAGTTTTGATGTAGCATTTCAGCATGAGCCTGAATGCGCTTATTCTGAAGCCCCACTGATTTTAGTGTGAATCAGTGTCTAGTAGACAGTTCTCGAATTGCAGCTGAAATGAATTGCAGTTTAAAAATGATCCCTTACCTCACCCTATCAACCCACCTTCATTTCAATTATGCAAAAAATCGAAAGAGTATTCATATATAAAACAATTGCACCTTTTCCCAATGAAGGATTTCACAGGCAATCATGCATCAAACAAACCTCTCTCTCATCCCCATCACCGTGAACCCAAACTGTAGCTTCAAGGTAATTATCTCTGTTAGCTCTGAAGGTTCCTTGGAGGTAAAGGCCAGACTTGATACCCTGCTGCAGTTTGCTGAGTGGAAGATGCTCAGAGAAAATGATCCTTCCATTTTCTATTTCGTTCTGTAACAGCCAGATGCAGATACAAGAAACAGTTAGAGTCAGTAGGCTGGTTTGGACATAATCTAAACCATGATTTAGTGTTACTCCATGTACCAAGAGTAGGTTACAAGAAGCATCTTCTTCAGGTTTTTAAACCATTGAACTTCTCCATAAAACAATAACAAAAAATGGTTTGATTTCACAGAGCTAAACATACATCCCTGATGTCAGGCATAAAGGAGAATTTTATTTTAAAACTGAAAGTGGAAGTTTTCAATCTCTTCCTCTTACATGTGAAAGGACAGGAGAGTATGTGAGCCAAAGGCTTGTCACAACTCGTGCACCTAACACTACATTTGAACCAGCTGGATGTTTCACCAGGTCCCTGACCCTCAACTTGTTTTCATAGAGTGAAGATGTCCTTCCCAGCCCCCTCAAATACCAAATATGAGTGATCCACCTAAGCTGATGATTTTAGGTCTAGATCTTCATGAGCAAGACTGGTGGTGATATTTATGGTGCAACTATAGTTTTGTTGTTGCCATGAGTTTGGAATTGGTTCTTTGCCAATCTATCCTTAGTTTGCAATCTTTCCAATCCTCTCTTCTGCTTCTTGCCACATCACAGGAACACCAAAGAAAAATGGAGACCACTGCTGAACAGTGCAAAGAGTGATGGAGTCCCAGTGTCTATTTAGCATTTCTCGAATAAACTTGAGAAGAAAACAATTCCACAAGACTCAATGATATATTTTCTACAATACTAAAGTTATACTAGAAATCTTTCTTGTTCCAGAGACATCTACTCAGAAGGGTGAAACATACCGCTTCATCATTTATGCAAGCAAGTCGATCCACAAGTTCAGGATTGGCTATCAAGCTCTTTATGTACTCTTCACCTACCAATAAAATACAAAATACATATTATGGCAACAATAATCATAGGATCAAGGCAATACTGATTTAAAAACTATAAATAATTAAATGGTCTAATATTGTTTTCTACAGCAGCATCTTCAGTTTGGATGTAGAGACTGACATGGTGGGCTACCACAAAATTATGTCTGGGTTGAATAGCAAGAATTATTTCTACTAACTGAATGGTATATGGTAAAATGCTCCTAGGCATCGCAAATAATCTTTCACTAAGTACATATCTGTTCTGCCACCAACCACAAGAACTAATCATTATAAAATCCAACCAAATAGACTTGCCTGGCACATTCCTTCTTTATTGGAAATTACAATACCTGCATGAGCCACTTGATCAGAACGCGAAAACATTCCATTAATAACAAGGAACACTTTCCCCTATGATTCTTATCCAAGCAGCAACTCCAACGGGTCTCCCCACCTCCCTTCAACCAGCGTTGGGAGGACACACAGAGCAAGGTGGTTGCAAAAGTCTCCTTCTGCCTTTCTCAGATGAGGAGTGCAGATGACAGGGCTAGCTAGGAGTGTATTTTGCAGAGGAAATCACTTGCTGAGAAACTCACAGAAGCAGAACTACCTAGTGGGCAGGCTGAAAAAAATATGCCAGGCTATGAATAATGAAGTATTCCCAAGCCCACTGATCTCGTGTGCTGGAGCACAGTCCAGGAGAAATCTGTTTTCTGACATCTTTCCTCCAGAATAAGTCCATTCTAGGTTTTCAACCAGCACATTTTACCACAAGGCTCCTTTTCTTATAGCAGAACGATATGGCTTTTCATCAATGCCTGGACTTACATGTATAAGCAGTAATTCCCTCTTCCACAGCTTTCTCTTTATTTTTTCTGTCATTGGTGAGCAAGATAACTCTTATCCTATCTTCGTCCTGCAATCCCTTCAGATGCTCATTATACCATTTCACTGCTATTCTGATGGCTCTGTCATTACGGTCATTAGCATTTTCCCCTTGCTCTTGTTCTATGTACGTTTCTCTGGAGACCAAAAAGCAAACCAACAATCCAGTTATTCATTTAAAAATTATCCATTTACAGTATAAACCACACAAAACCCTCTGGCGCCCACAGGCCCTTGGTGCATTGTAGGGCTAACTATGGCAGCGCACACACAATCCCATCATGCACTGTGCTGTTTTCAGCAACTTCATCCAAATTTAGCTATTTATTTTAAAGCAGTTCTATACTGTTTAGGAAACAATCATATACACATTAAGCTGGCATAAAGCAAGCAAGCATCCAGTTACACCAGGTCCAAACTCTATTTAGGAGCAGGGCTACTGCTGGCTCAGCCAGCCTAACACTGGCGGAAGGAAAACAAACCTTTAAAATAGGGTTTCAGTTACAGCACCGTTTTTGCCAGCTTAACTAACAATGGGTTGCCAGGCCACGTGGCTGATCCAGCCTAAGTCCCCGCCTGCACTTTCTGGTCCCACTCCCATTGCACCCTCTTTCAGGACTTATGTCACTTTAACATCCGCCAAGCTTGGCTCAGCCAGGATGGAGGAGACTCTCCAGCATTTCTCCAGCTGAGCCAAGGATGAGAGAGTTAAGTCAGCCCAGCCCAGCTGTGCCAGCGACCTCCCAGTTCTGCTGGAGATCTTCTGGATCCTAACAGTACTCATCTTGACAGAGCTTGCTATGAGAGTTATCCCTCAATATTTTTAAATTTTCCAAGTACAAAAACAATCAATATCATGAAAAATACAACCTGAAACTAAACAGCACCTAACAGACAATTTGTATATATTGAATGTATCTGTTAGTAATGAATAAAGCAGTGAAGAATGGCATAGCTTACTACTTCTCGTCCTTACTTATGATGCTCGTTAGTGAAAGAATAGAAATGTTTTTCAGTATTTGCTAACACATCTCTTATTCGTTTGTATACTGGAGCGCTCCGCCTTCTTACTTCCTGCAAGACCGTCTGAGGGATGATCACATTTCTAATAACAGGATCTTCTAGTATATCAATCTGGAAAGAAAACAAACCATGTGAGTAAATTCTCATAATATTTAGCAACCACCAACAGATATTTCATGATTGCAGCCATTTGGAAGAACTTCTTTAAAACACAAAGGACACAAATGTAAACTCAAGCCACACTAATGGGCCACCCAGCCCTGGTCTTTCCCTTGCCCTTTTGTATCAAGAGACAAGAATGGGGTTGCATCCAAATAACCTCTTCTCAAGAGCAGACCTGTTGAAATCATCCAGGGCAGCAAGGGTAGCCTGTACTGTTTCACTGGCTGAAGTGAACTGGGAAGCCGCTGCTCACCCTCCTTTAACTGGGCTGCATGGCAGTGTTAGGATATTTCTGTTCCACGTTAAAAAGGGAGCAGGCTGTTGTGTGTCACAAGCCTGCGTACTTCCTGCTCACAGGATGTTTCCGTTTTGTATATAGCTTTTGTTTTTGTCTGTTGCCTCGACAGGAAGGCAGGCAGGCATGTTTTTCCCTTTGTTCTGACCAACGTTGAATAAAGCGGTAAAATATGCTCTCCGGGGTGAATCTTCCGTTGTGGAAACTCTGCAAAAAAGGCGTGCATGAGTCCTGGAATGTGTCCGAGGCTCGTGTCGCTAATTGACTGATACTGTTTCCACGGGAGACCGGGAGACGACGTGTAGGCATGATGGCCTTTGTCTCCCTGGAAGTATCCCTACAGGCAGAACCCACAAAAGGATGGTGGGCCTGGCCAAGATCTTGCCAGAAGCAATGTTAGAAATTCAGGTATATAAGCTAGGAGCCAAATGGCTCCTTAAACTTAGATTACAAAACAGAATGCGTAGTTGCCATGTTTTGGTGCGAAAGTCCTGTTTTTTCAATACAACTTTATGGTACCTGAAATTTGTTCCTATCATGCAGAAAAAATATGACAGCTAGAATTCTCTGGGATGCATCGCTAGCGTGTGGAAACAGTCCAAATCCGAGGATCCCCAGGAAGGCATGCTAATATGTTAATCACAAAGATACAGCTCAAAGCTAGAACATAAGTTGCTACATGGTGTGCAAATGGCTACACCATTTGGTTAATTTCATTGTACATAGGTTGTAAAGGTAAAGGGACCCCTGACCATTAGCTCCAGTCTTGGCCGACTCTGAGGTTGCGGCGCTCATCTCGCTTTATTGGCCGAGGGAGACAGCGTACATGTGGTCAGCATGACTAAGCCGCTTCTGGCGAACCAGAGCAGCGCATGGAAACACCGTTTACCTTCCTGCTGGACCAGTACCTATTTATTTACTTGCACTTTGACGTGCTTTCGAACTGCTGGGTTGGCAGGAGCAGGGACCGAGCAACGGGAACTCAGCCCGTTGTGGGGATTCGAACCGCCAACCTTCTGATCGGCAAGTCCTAGGCTCTGTGGTTTAACCCACAGTGCCACCTGCGTCCCTTACACAGGTTGTACATTGACAATAAAGGTAGTAGTAGTAGTAGTAACACAGGTTCCCAACATGCATACTAAAACAATATAACAGAACACGGTGGGAATCAGAACTTAATCAGCAGAAATTGCCAGTGCTTATTGCGCATGTGTACTAAACATGAAAGGACGCGGGTGGCGCTGTGGGTAAAAGCCTCAGCGCCTAGGACTTGCCGATCGAAAGGTCGGCGGTTCGAATCCCCGCAGCGGGGTGCGCTCCCGCTGCTCGGTCCCAGCGCCTGCCAACCTAGCAGTTCGAAAGCACCCCCAGGTGCAAGTAGATAAATAGGGACCGCTTACTAGCGGGAAGGTAAACGGCATTTCCGTGTGCGGCTCTGGCTCACCAGATGCAGCTTGTCACGCTGGCCACGTGACTCGGAAGTGTCTCCGGACAGCGCTGGCCCCCGGCCTCTTGAGTGAGATGGGCGCACAACCCTAGAGTCTGGCAAGACTGGCCCGTACGGGCAGGGGTACCTTTACCTTACTAAACATGAAATGAGATAATGATGCATATGGTCGGTGAAGACTGAAATACTCTGTTTGAAATTTTATAAATACCACTGCCTGGACCACCGGGCAGGAAGGATCCGACTGTAACCTATTTCTTTGCAATAAGCAACGGCGGACTCCTAACTCCTCATGTTTCTGAGTTTTATTGGCTATTTTCTGGCTCACAACACTGGGAGTTGTAGCCCGGCAACAGGTGGGGACCCGCTCCTGAGAAGCCCATTACCTGGTGCAGCAGCACGTTGGTGTCGAGCAGCAGGTAGTGCGGCTCCGGGCAGAGGCTGCTGGCGGCCCCGCACGGCTGAGCTTCCAAGGGCCGCTGGTCGCCGCCGGCCTCCTCCGCTCCTCCTCCTCCGCCGCCGCAGAGCGCGCAGGCGGCCGCCCCGCACGAGATGTCGTCGCGCAGGTAGTGCTCGCGCACCACCTTCAGGACGGCGCCGGCCCGCGTGCGCTTGAGGAACGTGCGCGAGGTCAGCATCTCGTCCCGCCGAAGGAACCGTGAGGGAACCGCCGGCCTCGGCGCTGCTCCCACAATGCACCGCGCAGCCCTCGCATCCGGCGACGCGAGAGCACGCTTCCGCCCAGCAGCGGCCGCCGTCGGCCACCGTAGCGAGCGAGGGAGCCGCTCTAGGCAAATCCTCTCTCTAGTTCGCCGCCGCTCTTACAGGTCTAGTTTTTTTTCCCGCGGGGACGGGGTTAGAAGTGCTGCGCGTGTTCGCCACGGGGAGGGGCGACGCTGCGCTTACCCCAATCCGTTTTTTAAAAATAAAATAAAATAAAAATTGAATGGGTTGGTTCTGTGATATCAGGCGCATGAAAATATAAGCGACACCCCTTCTATGGCGTCTTTCAGCTCCGCCCACACGGGCCCGTCTCTTGACTTTTCTATCTCTACGTTAAAACCGTCACTCCCGTCATGCCGCGCGAAACGGCGGGAGAAAGGAGCGTCTGGGGCCGAGGAGCGTCGCTCCCGTTACCATGGCAGCAGGGCCGCCTCCCTCGGCGGCGCGAGGGCCCCGCCAGAGGAGCGCATGCGCGGTCCGCCGGCTGACGGGGTGTGTGTGTTGTGGAGGAGCCGCGCGGGCGAACTTCTCCCCCTGTTCCCCCTTCTTCTCTTTCTCCTTAGGGCGGTGTATCTCTTTGCTGCGCGGCTGAGTCAAGGGCATGTGGAGGCTGCCTGGCTGTTGTCAGAACTCTTTGGGGACCCACAACCCTGCAAGGTAGGCCAGTACCGTTAGGAGTATTTCCTAGTTTCTGGGGGGGGGAGGGGGCATAGGGCCTTGAAACCAGCGATTTGCCAAACCCCCCCTCTGGCAGAAAGAGAAGGCGGCTAGGAATGTGCTCCTTTCTGAACCTGTGAGTCCCCAGATGTTGTTGGACTACAACTCCCATCACCCCTAGCTAGCAGGGCCAGAGATCTGGGATGATGGGAGTTGTAGTCCAACAACCTCTGGGGACAGACAGCTTGAGAACCGCTGCAAGCAACTGCCTACTAAGACAACTGTTGAGGAACGTGGGTAAAAATAAAAATGGGAAGAACCTGCATTTATTTAATTTGTATATCTCCCTTCATCTGAAGATGTCAGGGCGGTTCAGGATCAGAGCGCCTGTCTGTTAACCAGAAGGTTGGTGGTTCGAGTTGTGGGAACGATTCCTGCATTGCGGGGGGTTGGGCTAGATGACCTTGGGGGAATCCCTTCCAACTCTATGATTCTGTTATTCTTACTGGGTGTTCTGAATGTGTCGACTTCCTGTTTTATATTGCGTATCCGCAACACTGTTCCTATGGTCTTTCAATTGTTGTTGTTGGCAAACCGGTGAATATTTGAGTTGGGCATCATGGATAGCTGTATGGTAGTGTGTCACGCAACATACTGGTGTTGATAAAAACATGAGAACTGTTGGCTTAATGTTTTATTTCTGACGAGATAGGTTTATGAATAATAGCTGATATGTGCCAGCATGGGGTTCTTGGCCTTGTATAGAATTTATACACTTGACATGTTTCAGATGTAGCACAGGATAGGATGAATTCTTCTGTAAAAATCCTTCTACTTACCACCATTCCCTTCTTCTTCTTTTTCTTCCCCAAGTTACTTGAACTGCAAGTAGAAAGTCTTTGGGCACTGTCGGGAGAATGTCACGGAAAAGCTCCAGAGAATCCAAAAAAGTTAATGTTTCCAGCTCCTTGGAATTGGAAGATATAAGCTTAGAGACAACAGTACCCACTGATGATATTTCTTCCTCAGAAGATCGGGAAGGTCCCGTCAAAATTACTAGACAGCTGATTGAGAGGAAGGAGCTGCTTCATAATGTGCAGTTGCTGAAAATAGAACTTTCCCAGAAGAACTTGATGTTAGACAACTTGAAGGTGGAATACCTGACTAAAGTATGCTCTAATTCTTACATATTTTAGGGTTGCAAAAAGCAAAGTTATTATTGGGAGATATAGTAATATGTTCTTGGTTTCCTTTTAAAATAGGCGGAGTTTTGGGACATACTGTACTAAAAAACTGAGGGTGGGGTTTTTGGGGGGAAGGTGGGGTAGATAAATAAACTTCATACTATGTATTGTTGGAAAGATACTGCCCTCAATTTTATATAATTCTGGGCCTCAATTAAATTCTCGTTTCTTTTCTGCTGCCTGATTATCTGTTTTAGATTGAAGAACTGGAAGAAAAACTTAATGATGCTCTCCATGAGAAACAGCTGCTATCTTTACGACTAGATAACCAGTTGGCCTTACAGCAAGAAGATGCTCGGTATGAGAAGGAAGAATTCGGAATCATTGTATTCTAAATACAGAAGTGGGGCCTAAATCATAATATTTTTGCAAATTTTGTGTTACGCTATGCATTTGTGTTTCAGATCTTTGAGCACAGACATAATGCCAAACCATGGTTGATTTTTGTAAATAAATGGCTAGTTCTTCAGGTCTGTGTGCGCCCACCTGCTCCTCCTGCATGCAGAGATTTTCTCCTCCACATTCCTCAGTTTGAAGAAGATCAGAATTTTGTTCAACTGAAAATGAGGCTTGGAAGCAATGGTGAAATTCTTAATTTCCAATCCTAGTTTGCAGAGTAAACACAATCCACAGTTTACTGTTTTGAGCAAACTATGGTTTGCTTTAAACCTGGAAAAGATGGAGGAAATTGCTGTCTGTTTGGAGACAAGGCAGCTTCTGAACCAATTTTCATGCATGTAACCCTAAACTATGGTTTGGCATTTCTGAACGACCCCTTTATTTAACACATGCAAATTCTTGCATAGATTCACTGTACGGTCTCTGAAAAACTGAAGTCAAAGGAAATGAAACATGTTTCTAGGATAAATTTATTTGGGTAAATCGCAAATAATTTGTTGATGTGTTTTCTTAGAAAACATCAAGAACTAATGAAACAGGAAATGGAAACCATCTTGCTGCGCCAGAAGCAGCTAGAAAAGAATAACCATCAGTTGAGAGAGCGGTCCGGAGATATTCGCCGCAGCTTGCGTGACCTTGAATTGACTGATGAGTGCTACACCAAACTCAAATCTCTTCCAGAAGATGAACTTTCAATTCCTGAATATGTATCTGTAAGTACTTGTGCCCCATCAGAAGTATAAATCTATCACTGCTCGAGATAAGGGAGATGGAGATAACTGTTAGGACAAGAAAATGAATAAATGATGCAAACTCTTATTCATATTGTGGCTGGGAGGAATGAACTTCAAGGATCACTGTATAAATGTCAGCAGGTTCTGGAAAAATGTGCTGATGGATGGAATGTGAAGTTGAATGTTTCCATTTTAAAAAAACCACCCAGGGCAGAATCCGGTGTTGTGCAAATGCACTTCTGCTCCTGCAAAACAACTTCACTTTCCTCTTGTCCTCTTACACGCCCCCCACCCCCGGAACCCTCCCAAGAGGAAGGTGAAGTCCTCTTGGCGTGAGTGAAAGTTCATGGGCAGCATCGGATACAACCTGTAATTTCTTAGCATCTGCTCTTCTAGCATTGACATGGTTTTCACTACTTAATAATGGCTTTCACTGTTATTCATAATATGCCAGTCTACAACCTTTTTTAGCTTGAGGGCAGCCTTCCAGAAGAGACTTGTTTGTGGTGGGCAGTGCCAGAGGCAAAAGTATGGTAGGCTAGCTTTACACACACACACTCTATTTAGGCATCAAGAGCCATTTTCAGAGTTCAGAGATGCTCTCAGCCAGGAAAAAAGCATTTGGGGTGTGATCTGGGGCCACTGAAAGGTGTGATCTGCGGAGAGGGAGTGTAATTTATGGTTTCAAGAGCCAAACAGTGAGAACCGGAAGGCCACATTTGACCCCTTGACCTAAGGTTCCCCATCTCTTGTCCAAATAAAACATTCTGTGTTTTTGCTTAATTTACAAGGTAGCATCCAATCTGCATTGTTGATCTTTTGTCCCTTCTTTTCAGTAAACACAGCAGTAAATAGACACAGCGTATAATATATTTTCACACCCAAGATCTCATGATGAAACATGGGAGCTGAAATATTGCCTCTGAACTTTGGGCCACCTAATTAATTATCGTCTCATGATAGACACCTGTTATCAGTAGGTAGATGTAAGAAGGGCCTGAAATTCATTCTAACTTTTGTCATTTTGTCTCTATAGATAGTCCTGTAGATGTTCGATAAAGTATCGTAATGGAATTCTAAGGGTATATGTTTTAAGTTAATCTAGGAGTCCCTGGTTTAAGAAAATGTTTTTAGGATCTCAATTCTGAGGCCTTGATAAGAATAGAATAGAAATGCTTTATTGTGCATTTTTATACTTAATAAAAGCATTTAGAAGTTTGAAGGTAAATTTACCAGCATTAATTGTGTGGTTGTATAGTGCTTAGCGTATTTTAAATGTGTACTTTATTTTATTCATGCAGATTAAAAAAATTGGTTTGCCAAAAAGCTCGCAATTGAAATGAAGTCAAGGTGAAGAAGGAAGTGGGTATAAAATATTAATTCTTTTACACTGTAGAGTAATAATTATGTTTATGCTTCATGCATTTCAGATTATATTTTACGAAGCAGTACATCCTTTAAAAAAGGAGCTAAATGAACTACAGGTAAAGAAGGATGCAGCATCTGAAGAACTGAATGATTACAAATCTCAGTTGAAACACTTGATGGAGGTTTGTATGCCATTTGTTTTAAAAAACAAACCTATTTTGTTCTGAAGCAGAAATAGCAACATGTTCAGTGGGATTTACTGCCAGCTAAGACTGCAGTCTTAACCGTGCTTACCTGGGAGTTAGCCCCATTGAATTCAGTAGGATTTACTTGTGAGTGAACGTGGCTAGGATTGTACTTTTTGTGTGTATAAGACTGGAGGCTTAATCTCCTGGGCTTGTCTTGCAGTATAAACCTGGCTCTGTTGGTCTGTTTTTCCCAGTGGGTGTTACAGGTTTAAAATGCCTGATGCAGCTCTTTTCAGGGAGAGCTTCCCAGGTACTAGAGCAAAGGTGAGTGTTTAGTAGAATGGCTGCTCTCTCTTTCATGAATCTAATGATATCTTTATGGTGCGTTAAGGTATCTTCCTGGAAAACATTTAGTAAAAAAGAAATACTGACCAAGCAATAAGATGCCGTTTGGGCCAGTTGTTCAAAATGCAGGTTGTGAACTTTAAAGTTATACAGAATTCTTCTTCAAGTTAGATGCTCATGGAAAATTAAAAATAGGTATTTCTTTACCAGTACATGGTAGTATGCTGTGTTTAGTTTCAAGATGGAGAAAATGAGTTGTTTGTTAAAGCAAGCTCAGCGGTCAAGTTTCAGGTCAGACAAAGCCCTTTTGCACTAAGATGGGATCATAAATGGTTTCATGAGGATTACAACAGGCTGAAACTCCCTAGATTTCAACATTGTCTCAACAACTGTTTCTAAGTGTTGGGTGACAATGGCTGTACTTTATTCTACTTAAAGTGTAATAAGCACTTTCGTGAGCCAATGAATACATTGTACAAACACACAGAATGACAAATGACAACATGAAATTCCAAAGCAACTCATAACTTGCCGCAGACTTCTGATCTGTGTCTAAGAGGAATCTCCAATAAATAAAATGTCTTGAGAGACAGATGCAGCAATTATTAAATGTGAACATTTCCTATTTCTTACCACTTGGTGTCAGTATCAACTCAGCAGTAAGCAATCCCTGGAGAGTAAAGAAATTGATACCTGAGAGTGCTAATCAGAGAAAGTAGAGGGTAGTGAGCATTTGAGTGTTTGGGTTTCTCTGGCAAGAAAATACAAATGAAATCAATCAGCTTTCACAGTGATGAGAATTAGGACCAATTCCCAAAGTATTCTTTGCTCTAGCCAAGCACGCCCTCCTAAAATATATTTTCTTAGATTATGTATCTGTTAAAAGAATGTACTAAACCAGGTTGATCTCTTCAATGTTTCTTCTTCTTTGGGGCTCATCCATAACCTGAAAGAAGAAACCTGAATATTGAAAATAAGACTGTTTTAAGTCTGGCTCTCTGGTAACTAGAAAAAAGGATTCTAGAAGTATTTGAGGAGAAAGTTTATTTTAACCTGTATTTTAATAGGTATAGCTGATCCCCAGAAGAAAAGTGATACCCAAAACACATTGGGGCTATTATGCTTCATTCTTTATTTTCTTGGGGTTATTGAACCTCTAAGCAAGGCCTTAGAGCATCTTCCTATGAAGAAAGGCTGAGTTGGGAACACAGTAGGCTTGTAAAAGTGTAAATGGCTGAAGAGAAGAGGAGGGATTTCTCTCTCTAATTCTCATCTAAGTTGAATTGCAGGGGGTTCAGTTCCGATAAATATATTATTTGTACATACAGACACACACTTAGCACTACTTCAGAATAGACTCTCTTGTCTATAATCTCATTATCCTTAAAGGAACTCCTGTGAAACTATCAGAAAAACTGTAAGGGTCTTTCATGTATTGCAAGCCTGTCACAGTTGTTCAAACTTGTTGTGACTAGCCAGTTTTGCAGCACTTAGATTTGGAGAACCTTGCCTTATAAGGAAAATGAAAAAGAAGTATAAAACAACTAGTTTTTCAGGGCTTAATAAATCCACCTGCTTTAGTAGTGATTCATCTACCTCGACAGGTGGAAAATTATATACTTAGCTATAAGCGTAAATAGCGTGTTGTGACACCAGTGGATTTTTTTTTTATGCTGGTTGCAGACTTTTTAAGTTCAATACTGTCACACGCACTTGCCCCAAATCACAAAAATTTAGTCCTCTGCATTTGGCCTGTGAGACCATTTCAGCCAAGCCACACCCACCTGCCCTACAGCTGACATCGTATATGACATCAGGTGCAGGGCTAGTAAAGACTTGTCTCAGGTAAAAGAGGTGTGTGCCTGAAAAATGATCCACAAGGGGCTCCAAAAGACCTGGCGGTCAACCGATAGTCGGTCTTGCAGAATGCTCTGAAAGGCGCTTTTGAGACTGTACTCCACATGGTTGGATTTCAAACTGCCCCACGGGGTGTGGGAAGAGATAAAATATTAGCTATTAGCTACTACTGGTCCAATTCAATTCCCCTTCACTACCCAGAACAAGGTAAAAGAATGCATAGGGTAGCTGAACTGATGGTGATGATGGGGTGCAAGGAAAACAATACATCGAAATCTAGAGCACTCTGTGGATTTTGTACAGAGTCAACTTTTTGATATAGCTCGAGAAATTATTTTAAACCACCTTGCTGGTAGCATGGGGAGTTGTTGACATTGTGAAGATGATAGAGATATGTCTCTAAAAATTCAAGAAAAAGCACAATACTTTAAACAACTTTAGACGTTGCTAAACCGTATTCATAAGATCCGATTAATTTAAAAATGGAAAGGATGATACAAAGACAACATAAATACCGGTAAATTGATGGGAGCTTGTTTTACAAACCCCTGTAGCAAGTGTACAGGATCACTGTACATACTTCCAAAGAAAGTGTTTACTGTGCAGTGAAAAACTCAAGTGGTAGCGGTTTGCAGAAAAAACATACAACTGGATTTAGTGAAAGAATGGGAAACTAATACTGATCTCTATAATGGAATATGCCAGGCAAAAACTTGCCATTTTACTGAGGCTTTTGGCCTTTAGGTTGAAATATTTTAAAGTATTTGTGGTCTCTTTGGGTAAGGCAGGATCTGCTAGACCTGTCTTTTAATTGTTTAGCTAGTTTTTAAGGTATGTGTTGATTTTGTTCATGGTAATGTGCTTTAGCATTTCCACTTTCCTCATTTAGGATAGTAATAGATATGTCTGCATTGGTAGATGAGCGGGGTATAAATAATAAATAATAATTATTATTATTATTATTATTATTATTATTATTATTATTATTATAAACTCTCTGCGTGCCTGTCTTAGGTATAAAGATCTAGAATCTACGTTAGCAGTAATGCTAATGGAGGTATCTTTATGGATGTTATATCTGATGCAAACTTGGTGTGGCTAGTTGTCTCCTTATTTAGACTTCCAGAAAGGACTTCTGTCTTCGTGAGAAGGTATTAGATACAGAGAAACACTGGCAGAAGGGTGTTGGTAAAAGGTGATTTCCTGCCTCCTCCCAAGGCCACAAGAACCAATAGAATGGGGCGGCTGTAGCATAGACGGCTGAGGAAGAAAGGAAATAAAAGGGGCACCCACAGATTCCCGCCCCCCATTCTTTCCACCCATTCTCCCCATCCTGCTCAGCCCCCTGTGCCACAACATATCTCATTCAGCAGGTTTGGGGGGCCGAGGGGGGAAAGCAGGAAAGTCACTTTCCACTTGCTTTTCTGCTGCCTTATCTCAAGATTGAATCCAATGTAATACACTCTTGTCTTTGTAATTAACAAAATGGTCTTTCTAACCTATGTCTGAAGAACCAGGACTTTTTTGCAGCCAAGAACTGAGTTCCGGCACATCTTTTGTGCGTTCTGGCAAAGCTCAACAACTTTGGTTCTGGCACCTCTTTTCGTAGAAAAAAAAGCCCTGCAAAGAACCATGTATCAACTTCTGGAACCAAGTGTGGCTGTGTGTTCATGTTCCTTGCACTGCCTTCCCCCAGCGTGCCCTATGGCAACCCCCTTTTTAAACTGACAAAGTTTGTAAGACAATTGATCAAAGGGGGAATTAAAAATGCCAAGGGCTGTGGCCGAACACTTTCGTGTGCATGGTATATTTCTCTGAATCCCAGCCTCTATTTTCACATTAAATAGTGGTGTGGTGTTTGTTTTGCAGAACTATGAAGCAGAGCGAAGAAATCGGTCAGAACTAGAAGTCAGATGCCAGCGTTTAACACTTGAACTAGCTGATACAAAGCAAATGATTCATCAAGGAGACTATAGACAAGAGAATTACGATAAAGTAAAAGGGTAAGTGTGTCTTTAGTAAAGAAAATTGTAGAAGGAGCTCTCATATTGCCTTGGATCAAAGGTAATGGGTTATATCCAATGTTGCCTGTGAATAAGGAGAATGTTCCAATAAGTATCTTGTCTTGTACTGGGGCTACTTTGAGCTAGCAAAGAAGGGTGGATGTTTGGAGACCACCAAACATGTTTGGAACTATAAAACATGAGAATGAGTGTATCAACCAGGGAGCTTTGCAGGGCTTTTGCAGATTGTTGCTGTGTTACACAAGCATGGGAAAGTGATGACACTGCATTTTGCAATGTGAAACGATATGAAAGCGCAGGGAAAACGAGATTCTTGGACTCAGCAGGGCCCAAATTAATGTACACAAGACTTACTGTAACTTAATTTGGGCTCCACTGATGAAAGAATATCTGAAGGACTGTTGATGTTAGATTTGCACAGGAAGCATAGATTACAGAAGCAGTCAAGGGTTTGAGGGGGACATTATTTTACAGTACTCTCATTTTTCCCCCCCAACAGTGAGCGTGATGCATTTGAACATGATTTTTCAGAGCTTCGAAGAAAATACGAAATATTGGAAGTATCACACAAAGCACTAACCAAAGAAAGAAATGATTTATCAAAAGAGGTGAGATCTTTATATCTAATTTGACCTTTATCCGAAACATTTATTCAAAATTTACAAAGGCCCAAATTAGAATTTTCTCCCCCCCCCTTTTTTTAACACTTATATTTGATATATACCTGGAGTAGTTTACTGCAGGCACCCCCAAACTCGGCCCTCCAGATTTTTTGGGACTACCAACTCCCATCATCCCTCACTAACAGGGCCAGTGGTGTGGGATGATGGGAACTGTAGTCCAAAAACATCTGGATGGCTGAGTTTGGGGGTGCCTGGTCTACGGAGTTTGGATCTTTATGGTACAACAAACTGCTTGTCAATCCAGTTCATGAGCTAGGCATCCATTCTTTGCCAATCTCTTTCCAAATATTAACTGCCTGAAACTCCACCTGCCATCCTTTGGCACATAGCTTTCTTTGATTCTGCCTTTTAGGAGTATCATCTGCATTTAAACAATGTTATCATTGTTCATAATTTAGATACCTCCTTCTTTTGTCACCTCTTTGCAGTCACACTTAATAGGTTCTGTGCCTACCCAGAACCACATTTGGGAAACTCGGAGAGTGGAAGGATGTCTATCCTTCTTCTGGTATTTCTTGAATAACTGAGATTCACCAAATATTGCAGTTTCTATAGAATGGATAAGGGAGATGCAAAGGAATCTGTTTGAATCCCATCATTTCACTGTTGAAATCTATATATCAAGGGGGGGGAAGCATGTGGGCAAGGGGAAGAACAAAGAGACACTCATCTGTAAAACATAATAAAATTTATAAATTTTGAATGTAATTTGTATATAGGCAAATTCTTTGTATATATTTTTGTGTATAAATGATACTTTTTTAGACTTGGAATGGGTCATAGAGTGGTACCTTGGTTTAAGAACAGCTTAGTTTATGAACAACTTGGATTAAGAACACTGCAAACCCGGAAGTAGGTGTTTTGGTTTGTGACTTTTGCCTTGGAAGCAGAACATGTTCCGCTTCCTGTTGAGTGTGTTCCATTTGTAAACTGAGTCCCCCACTGCTATGGGAAAGCACGCCTTGGTTTAAGAATGCTTTGGTTTAAGAACAGACTTCCAGAATGGATTAAGTTCATAAACCAAGGTACCACTGTATATATAAATTGCATTGTACTGCATGCAGGGATAAACAGTGTGCTGCCACAGCAAATATACCTAAAGAGCAAGGAATGAATACAGATGCAAATCTAGGTTGTTCACTTAAGAGAAGTGTGTCATCCATTGCAATGAGGAGATTCAGAATTGCATCTTGTTTTCTTAAACTACCCTGGAAGCTCTGTTAAATATAAATACTCATAGTGGTACTCAGGTAAGTCATACAGAGTTGAGCAATTGAAATCAGGGGGTGGTAGTCAACTAAGTTTTACTCAGAATAGACCCATTAAATTTAATGGAATAATTTAGTTGTGTTCATTCATTTCAGAGAGTCGACTCTGGGGAAACCTTTGTTGAATACTACTCAGTGACCTTGCATCCAACAGTTTCAGTGGATCCACCCTGAGTGTGACTAACATCTATAAATCTTTTAAATAAAATAAGAAAAAACTCTAACCTGGGAGGTGGGGGTTGTACTACAGACTGCCTGGTTTTATCATAGCTATTTTGTATTTAAAGGTTGCAGCTTTGCAGCAGTCTGTTACCTTACTGCAAAAAGATAAGGATTACCTCAACCGTCAAAACATGGAGCTTAATGTTCGCTGTGCTCATGAAGAAGATCGTCTTGAAAGGCTTCAGGTTCAGCTAGAAGATGCTAAGAAGGCCAGAGAAGAAATTTATGAGAAATATGTCACATCCAGGTACATAGTTCTGTTAATTCATTCAACAAATGATTCATTGCAGTAGACTGTTGTCGGGTTGGACAAAATAATTTACAGTAAACATAATGTTTTTGGTCAGTTGATCAGATTTCCCCAGAAACAATCCGTTGAAATCAAATTATGTTGTAGTGTTCTCAGGTTTTAGTTTCTACATACAGAAAAATCTTAAAGCAGCTGTGAGACCTTTATAAAACTTATAACAATAATTTTCCATTATCACTAGAGGATTTACAGTCAGAAATTAAGCCTGTTCATATTTTCCTCAGGTTGCACTATATTACTAAAACTAAGACTACAGTGGTACCTCTGGATGCGAATGGGATCTGTTCCGGAGCCCCGTTCGCATCCTGAAGCAAACGCAACCCGCGTCTGTGCGGGTCGTGATTCGTCGCTTCCGCGCATGCGCATGACGTCATTTTCAGCATCTGCGCATGTGCGAGCGGTGAAACCCGGAAGTAACACACTCCATTACTTCTGGGTTGCCGCAGAGTGCAACCCGAAAATGCTCAACCCGAAGCTACTTCAACCCAAGGTATGACTGTATTATGATGCCTTTAATATTTGATTAAACAATCCACTCTAGTTTAAAAAATCTCCAAGTAGCAGTATCGTATCAGTGATACGATAATGTTTTATTTTGCATCGTTAGTAGTAAAGCTCCTGTGGACTTATTTGCAATTCTATAGCATGTCACCAACATCAATACAAAGTAACTTACATATGAAAGGGAATATTTATGAATTCTGAATGAGTATTGGTTCAGTTGGTAACAGCATATATGCAGGAATCTGCTACTGCTTAAGGGATGGCAACTCTTCTTATCATTTTAGCTAGTAGCTGAGCTCAGGCTCAGGTTGGCAATAGGCCAAAAGGAAGACAGAGAGCAGTTCTTTTTATCTAGGAGAAAAGGCAATGGTTCTTCTCAGTCGGTGAGATCCAACATCACATTTGCTTCCGAGGGTCCCCCCAACCCAACCTTGGAGGCAGAATGGGAAGTCCTGGTTCCACATGCAGAATGCCACCGGTTGATAAATCTTACTGGGCGATAAGCAACTCAAAAGGGATAATACAAAGAAAGCTGCAGGTTGTTTTTTTTAACTTGCTTTGCTTTTTTTTTTTTTAATGAAGAGACCATTACAAAACAGAATATGAAAACAAACTGCATAATGAATTGGAAGAAATAAGGCAGAAGACCTCTCAAGAAATAGAGCAGCTTCGAAGAGCTACAAAGGAAATGTATGAACGTGAAAACAGGTGGGTAACTACTTTTAGAAACAATGGAACCTAAAAACAAATAAGGGAAATACCTTGGTGCTTGATCATTCTGAAACACATGTTAGATCCTCATTTTTACTAATCACTATGGCTTCTCGAAGCTACCAGCATGAGTTTGACCAAACTGTGGGAGGCAGTGGAAGACAGGAGTGTCTGGCGTGCTCTGGTCCATGGGGTCACGAAGAGTCGGACACGACTAAACGACTAAACAACAACAACATGGCTTCTCTCTGTGCCAGGATTGGTCTAGAATGCACCCGGAAGAGGCTATGTTGTGGATTTGTCTCCCGTGACCCTCGTTTCTGATGACGAGGCACACTGCAACAGTTCCCACACCAAAATATTTTTAGTTGGAATAGCAAAAGCAACCTTCTGTTTCATTCAGACGTAAGACAGACCATGCTGTGTCATTAATGAGCCTTCAGCTTATTTTTAGAAGTCTTACTTTCTTTCACTCCTTGTTACCTTCAAAATCCTTTTTTTCTAAAATCCCTCTTTTTGACAGTGGTGGCAGAGCTAATGGAAGTTTAGTTCAGAACACGGTGCTGCCTCTGTGAGAGAATATGATCAAACTCTTCTATATAATAATCAGGTTCTTATGTGTGTGCATGTTTCCTGAAATAAGAACATACAAATTATGACAGGTAGTAATACAAAGAGAATGCAACAGGTTTGTGCAATCAACTGTATTTGCATGGAATGAAGTTTTAGGTTTTAAATAGCCTTATGTTGACTTGTGAAAGCTAAGGAACTGATACATAGTATTTAGTCCTCATTTCCCTTCTCCTTCTCTACCACCAGTCAGGTAAATTATACCAACTACTTATTGCATCACTGGGGTTAACAGAAAGCTTTGCTTCCCATGTACAGACTTGTATTGTGTTACATAAAACAGCTTTAAGGTCTGTTTGTTTATGGAGGTTTGACAGATGTAAAAATGTTTGCATGCAAAATAGCTAAAAATATTGGTCTGGAACCAGTTGGCAGAAATGTTGTTCTTCATCTTGAAGTTATGGTTTCTTTACTGCCAATTCCTGAATGTCTTTATGATATAAAAGAACATTTGTGAATAAGAATCTTGAAAACAATGCTTTATTTTTATCCCTGTTGGGACAAAAAGGGTGTGGTAAGCCAGTGAATCATTATATTTCTGTTCTTAAACTCGCACACACGTTTTCTGTTGTTTAATGTAGCTATGTGCTTTGAAAATTTGTATCGTGTTATGAAACTCAAAGCAGGTTCTGCTTGTAGGCCTCTGAAGTGACTATCAAAGCTGTCACACTATAGTTGTTCAACTCTTACACACCGTTCCTAAACCTGCTAACTGGGAAACAAATGTGATTGAAAACTTGAGTTACATTTAGGTAAAGGGACCCCTGACCATTAGATCCAGTCGTGGCCGGCTCTGGGGTTGCGGTGCTCATCTCGCTTTACTGGCAGAGGGAGCCGGCATACAGCTTCTGGGTCATGTGGCCAGCATGACTAAGTCGCTTCTGACGAACCAGAGCAGCGCATGGAAATGCTGTTTACCTTCCAGCCAGAGCGGTACCTATTTATCTACTTGCACTTTGACGTGCTTTCGAACTGCTAGGTTGCCAGGAGCTGGGACCGAGCAACGGGAGCTCACCCCGTCACGGCGACCTTCTGATCGGCAAGTCCTAGGCTCTGTGGTTTAACCCACAGCGCCACCCGCGTCGCCTGAGTTACATTTACATAGACGCATTTTAGATTGGGGTGTTAATCATTCTGTCTCTGCTTATTTCCAGCACTTCTCTACATAGTGCTTCTCTAGACAAATACACACTCTATTTTTCCACAACCCAGTACACTGCTACAACATGCAATCCTTAGGCCACATAATTAAGTTCGGATGCTTGGCAAATGTCAACTTTTGCAGAGCTGGAACTTGCTTTTAACCCAACTTGCAACATTCTATACTCTTCATTTACCACCACCACCCTTCTCAGAAAGAGTAACGGCAACAAATACGATGGCAATAAAATGGTGGAGGCTACATTGATGGTACCAGAAGGAAATAATGGCACATTGTTACAGGCTAGAGCTCTAGGTCTGCCTAGCCTACAGCTACTGGGTTCCCTCCACTTGGAAGGACAATCACACAAGCATACTGACAGACTCTTGGTTGGGTGAACTTTGAACAAGGGCTATGGTTTCCCTTGTTGATGGCAGCAGGTTAAATTTAATTGAGGAGGAATGGAGCATGATTCACACAAGGTACAGTGGAGATGTAACAGGGCACTGAGGAGACAGGTGCTTCTGACACAAACAGAGGCAACAAAAACTGAGGAGAAGAAAAGGCACTAAGACAACAGGGGAGGGAGAGAGAAATCACAGGAGCTCTCTTCTCCCTGACTAAGGCACATGCAGACACAATAATGAAACAATGCACAGACAGAAGAACAGGATATGGTGTTTGAAAGATCTGCTTCAAGCAGGAAACTGACTCCAGAGGAGGGAGACAGAACAACTCCTTTGGAGTGACAATGCTTCCCGCTTTTGAATGCTAGCGGGGACACAATCCCACTTGTAGGCATCTTAGCGCCCAGTCAGAAACACCTTTCAGGTAAGACTAGCAGTCCCATTTCTAGCACCAGTTTTGAAATAATGAGGTGACTTTCATACGAACAGACTTTCAAATTACATACATGAGCTTGCAGGAAGACATCAGTCAACTCAAGGAACAACATTTTTCTGCATTGAAAGCAACAGATCTATTGACATAAGCTGAGGTGCACTTTAGTCCAAAAAAAAGCTGCTATGGATCAGTATCTTTACATATCAGTTCAAGGATGTAGCAGAAGAGTCTTCAACTCCTTTAGAAGCTGCAGGAATCATTTGAACAGTGCATGATCTTTAAAGAAAAGTGTTTGGTTCTTTGCAACTATAGCTTTTGCAAGAATAGCTAGAATAAATCTCTTGCAAACAGTATTCCCAGCTAAAATAATATTTCACTTTGTATCATTTTGTAAGCCTTTTCTGACAGGCCTGTGTTACCTTTTCAGCCAGTCTCAGGACAGTCATCATCTAATATAATACGAATAGATAGAAAAATCCTTATTTACACTCAACCCACCATACTGTCGCCAGTTAAAGTAGACTTGACTGGGCAAGATTACCTAATGATGTAACTCATTATAAGGTAACTTCATATGTTCATAAAACCTATGCAAAACACTCAACATTATGCTGCTGAAAAATGGGCAAAATGATTAAAGGAAGGAAAGAGAAAAAGCTCACTGTTATTTGAGGAAAAAGGAGGAACCCAGAAAGTTTGTCTCCTTAGCTCATTAGCATTACATATATTTGTGAAAGATACAGAATGTTTTGCTGACATAAAGCCATATGCATTAGATCCTTTTCCAAGGATGATATAAGATCCCTTTTTCTGGTTTGAGGCAAATCAAATTTCTCTCAAGGGATTGTTATAACATCCCTTGCAACGTTCTTGAAGATGCCTCTGGGCTTATAAATGTTGCGTTGAGCCATTTTACACATATTACAAAACAGCAAACCTTGATTTGACACTGAGTGCAAAGGCATTATTGGCACCCTACTGAGTGTTATATGTTTGCAAATAACTGTTTGTGCATTCAATGTTACTTTCTTTGCATTTAAAATACTTTAAAGTGCACACTTAGAAAATGTGGTGTGTGAATCAATCCTAATAAGATTAAGAATCAGAGTAGGGTGTACGCCTAAAAATTTACACAAATTCACCTGAAGTGACATGGAGGATATATATTTGATTGTTCATTTAATGAATGCTCTGCTGTACTATTTATTTATTATTTGTTGCTGGAACTATACAAATCAGCCTTGTCACAATGGAAAGTGTTCCCCAGTTGCATCTCACTTGATATTTTTGAATCCCTTTGTGTTTTGTTTTTAGTTTCCCTGTTTCTTGTTGCTGTTGTTCACTGGCTTAGTTGTAGTTTTCCCATTATTATTATTTGGCAGATGAGCACACACCATTTGCTCACTCAAAGAAAGTAAAAACAGACCTAACCATCTATAACTTTTGACCATAAACCTATTTCCTCTGAGAATTTATTTTATTTTATTTTTTAGATACAGACCATTTTAAAATGGTAAATTGTTAGGAAAATTCTCCTCATGAAATGGTATTTGAAGGCCTGTACAACATTTGTACATAAGGCAACAGAGTCTGACTTTTTCATCTTGTAGTAGTTACATAAATCTGCACCACTTTTAAATTTTCTGTATTATAGGCAAGGGATGTTAATAGTAAAATCAGTGAGGCGGTGTTCTGGATGAGGGTGAACACCCCCCCAATCATGGCCAGTGGTGAGGGATAATCCAATAAAACATTTGGGGGGTGCCAGAATGGAGAAGGTGGATCTAAAACATAATTGTCATGAAGTGTTTCATTTGCTTATTATTTTACACGATGACATCTAGCATACCACATCAGAATAAGCAGCATTCACATGAAATATTTACCACATGACAATGATATGGTAAAGTCACTTTGTGAAGCAGCACCCACATCAAAAAGTAATGTGAGAATTGAGCCTAGTGTTTCAAGCTTAAAAGCCTTATAGCTAAATGAGAGCTGCTTTTTGATCTAAAAATAGCAATTGTTAATGCAGCATTTCTCCTCCTCCAAAGAAACAATGAAACTTCAAAGGTGAAATCTCTGTACAACTGCCATGTTAAAACACATATTCATAAAATAGGTGAATATTTGATATTATGAGCATAAATTTAATATAGGAGCTAGGGCTTAAGAAAGTTTAGGTCTCAAATTAGGAAGAACTAAGAATAGTAGGGCTGTGATACAAATATTTTAGCATGAAAGGGGTTTTTCAGTAGCTTTGATAAGCTTTACCATTTCAGCCTTCATTCTGGGAACAGTATGTTCTTCAATCAGCCAATCAGATTTGTGATGGCATTACGGAAAACAAGTGAAATTTATTCAGAGTGAGGGTAATTCATCCTGAATTGCATTGCCCTCACTCTGAATTAGGTTAGTTGCCTCCCGTGATGTTATCACATAGCCACTTTCAACCAATCAGCACTATAGACTCAGAATATGAGTCTAGCTGGCACCAATTGATGGACTACGCACAATTAGACAAGCTAACAGGAAGGATCCGAGACCGGCGGGACCAGAGGTTTACCAAAGACTGGACTAAATTTACTGAGTATCTAAAAAGTATTTGTGATGATCAGATTACGTTTGTAGGACTACAAGAAGTTCTGCGAGGAGTAATTTAAGAAATATTGTAAAAATGGAAAGGGAGAAATGATTTGTTAGAAAAGGTAAAGGCAATATTAAGTTAAGAATTGCAGGAGAAATAATCAGGACGGAAGGCTATCAGAGATGCTGAAGGAAGTCCAAACAAGGACATATGTATAATAATTTGTGTGGTATGCTTTAAAAAAAATTGTATGCTAAAAATAATAAAATGAGTCTAGCTGGCACCTGAGTGAGTAAGGGGATTGCAATTGTATTATTACTACCTACTCTTGAGGGGGGGCGTATTTAGTTATCAGGCAAGGGTATAAGCCACCAAACACCAAAATGGTACCACAGTGGTATACATTAAAATAAATACCACAATCCTAAACAAAGCAAAAAACGCCTAATTGTTTATACCGTCTAGAAAAATTGTTTATATTTTATTGGATGCTTCACAACCTATGTCGGTTGCCAGTCTGACCTCAGTGGTAAGTGTGCTCCACAGGGGCCACTGTACTGAAATATGCAATCCAGAATACCATACAATGAATCTCAGGTCCATGTGACCCTACAGAGTTATAAAAATGTCTAAAATTCTCTCACACACACCCTCCAAGTCAGCCCTAATAAATAGAGTATATAAAAGGAAGTATCTGGGGGGGTTTTAAAAATAATTTTTATTAACCGGCCAATCAAATCAAATTAAATCACATCACATAAATTCCGAATTACAAAGCCGAATTTTAAATTTTGTTGGGGGGACCCATATTTCAAGATCCGAAGGGGGCTTCTGATCATCTTCTTGCTACTGCATTATTGTCCAAATCAGACCAAATCAGTCCAAACAGAGTTCATAATTCTATCCAGTCTTATCTTGCTGTTTCCACATCACATCTTGTTCATATATTTTCTTTTTTTTCTTTATGATCTCTTCTGATAGTCTCCTTAAGCCGATAAACACCAATAATAATAATCCTGTGTGAATTTTTCCGTTCTTCCAATCCTCAAATCAAGATGGTTTCCATATATCATCGCCTTCATAGATAACATCGCTCTTTCCAGGAAGTATCTGTTATATGTGGATTTGTTTAAAGAAAAAAAGCATTGTCTACCTGTACAAGGATTTCTATATCATAGGTCATATGCCATATTTTGTACAGTATAGATTGGAGTTGTCTACTGTATCTGCTTGTCTGGTTAGAGTTGTTCCAGCAAGGACTTGAGGAAAATGTGGCGATGGCCCCTGCCTTGGGTGGTTTAAAAAATATAGTAGGTATGTTCACACATGATATCAGTGTATTATCTGTTGATGCTAATTATGTTAGGTAAATTAGACTAATTATGTTAGGGACGCGGGTGGCGCTGTGGGTTAAACCACAGAGCCTAGGACTTGCTGATCAGAAGGTCGGCAGTTCAAATCCCTGCAACGGGGTGAGCTCCCGTTGCTTGGTCCCTGCTCCTGCCAACCTAGCAGTTCGGAAGCACGTCAAAGTGCAAGTAGAAAAATAGGTACCGCTCCGGCAGGAAGGTAAATGGCATTTCTGTGCGCTGCTCTGGTTTGCCAGAAGTGGCTCAGTCATGCTGGCCACATGACCCGGAAGCTGTACGCCTGCTCCCTCGGCCATTAAAACGAGATGAGCGCCGCAACCCCAGAGTCGGCCACGACTGGACCTAATGGTCAGGGGTCCCTTTACCTATGTTAGGTAAATGGAGCCTTCATATATATTACACACAAACACACATTTGACTCCAGAAAACAGGAGGGGATGGTTTCTTTCATACCCTGGCAAGAAAATGCTAGCCTAGATGGACAAGGATGTGATCTGCACAGCAATTCTACATTGTGACTTGGGACCGAATCCATCTCTTTGGCCTCCTTTGCCCACTTGTGGCTTCACGGTACTCTTGCTAGACCCTGTTTGTGGTTTCTTTCCACCCTTCTTGCCCACAGTTTACAACTATTTTACCATATCCCTTTTTCATATAGCCTTGCTCCAGGTAAAAAAGGTAAAGGTACACCTGCCAGTACAGGCCAGTCTTGACAGACTCTAGGGTTGTGCACCCATCTCACTCAAGAGGCCGGGGGCCAGCGCTGTCCGGAGACACTTCCGAGTCACGTGGCCAGTGTGACAAGCTGCATCTGGCGAGCCAGAGCCGCACACGGAAACGCTGTTTACCTTCCCGCTAGTAAAGGTAAAGGTAAAGGTACCCCTGTCCGTACGGGCCAGTCGTGTCCGACTAGGGTTGCGTGCTCATCTCGCTCAAGAGTCCGTGAGCCAGCGCCGTCCGAAGACACTTCCGGGTCACGTGGCCAGCGTGACGAAGCTGCAGCTGGCGAGCCAGCACCAGTGCAGCACACGGAAACACCGTTTACCTTCCCGCTATAAAGCGGTACCTATTTATCTACTTGCACTTAAGGGTGCTTTCGAACTGCTAGGTGGGCAGGAGCTGGGACCAAAAGACGGGAGCTCACCCCGCCGCGGGTATTCAAACCGCCGACCATGCGATCAGCAAGTCCTAGGCACTGAGGTTTTACCCACAGCGCCACCTGCGTCTCTTCCCGCTAGTAAGCGGTCCCTATTTATCTACTTGCACCCGGGGGTGCTTTTGAACTGCTAGGTTGGCAGGCGCTGGGACCGAACAACGGGAGCGCACCCCGCCGTGGGGATTCGAACCGCCGACCTTTCGATCGGCAAGCCCTAGGTGCTGAGGCTTTTACCCACAGCGCCACCCACGTCCCTCCAGGTACTTCCTATCTATCCCCTATGCTTTATTGCTATAGTTCCCTGATGTTAACTTGTCTTATCTTGAAGACCTTACCATTCTGCTGCTCAGCTTTTAGATGCCAGGTCTTCCTAGTTACTACTACCAAAATCTCATTGCTCCCCTGTCTCTGAACTCTTTGTGAGTTTCCTTTCCTACACCCCTGCAAAGTTCTACTCCTTGACAGATCTGTTGCTATTACACCTACCCTTTCAACAAGCCTTCTAAGTGGAGATCTTTAATCCCAGTTTGTATCTGCATTAGATTGGAGTTGTTTTTTATATAAGTAATGAAGTTGTATGGTTTTTATTGCTGATGGTGTTGTTAATCTTTTTGAGATATTTCATAGGAAGCGATTCATAAATGGAATTAATAAGCTAGTATTCTATCTATATACATGACACAAGTTTCTATGAAATTTTGAGGGGATTGGTGGACGAAGCATGGAAAGAAAAACGTATGCACATAACTAGCTTTTCCCCTGTTGGAGCTCAGTTACAGAAAAACTAGATTACAGTGGTGCCTCGCAAGACGAAATTAATCCGTTCCGCGAGTCTCTTCGTCTAGCGGTTTTTTTGTCTTGCGAAGCAACCCTATTAGCGGATTAGCGCTATTAGCGGTTTAGCGGCTTAGCAGCTATTAAAGGCTTAGCGGCTTAGCGGCTAAAAGGCTATTAGCAGCTTAGTGGCTTAGAAAAAGGGGGGGAGCGAAAAAAAATCGCAACACTCGCAAGACGTTTTCGTTTTGCGAAGCAAGCCCATAGGGAAATTCGTCTTGCGAAGCAGCTCAAAAACGGAAAACCCTTTCGTCTAGCGGGTTTTCCGTCTTGCGAGGCATTCGTCTTGCGGGGCACCACTGTAGTACCATAACTTACTTGTGAAAATATACTAGAGAATAAAAGGAACATTTACTCTGAAACACTTTTGAATTTCAGAAATTTAAGAGAAGCCAGAGATAATGCTGTGACTGAAAGAGAGAGAGCTGTTGCAGCTGAAAGAGATGCATTAGGAAAACATGAGCAGCTTTTAGAACAGTAAGTACATTCACCTTTCTTTTTCCTTTCACATTTATTTAAAAAGAGACTTAAACATTTGTACAAATAAAGTTGAGGTTTCTGGTTTCAAACTACTTGTTCAGAGGTGTCACTGTGCTTGACAGCTTGAGCTTCTCCTTTCACCCTGTCCAGGCTGTCATATTTAGATCTCTGACAAGCTAACTAGTGTAAATTGTTATTGGGAGCGAAGAATTGGAAAAGCCAAGTTTCTAGTAAACCATTTGAAAATTTAGCAGAAAAAAGTAAACTTCCCAACGAATGTATATTTGCCTGAACTGTAGTTTGGTAGTTGTTGTCTTTATTGGCATCTTGAATCCATTAGCAAAGATTAGAGATTTCCTTTGGCTCTCTGTGCTAAGCTGTGGAACATTCTGTTTATTGGCAATATGGACATTCTGCACTACAACTGTTAATTTGTCTGCATAACAACCTTTTTTAGGTAGTTAACTGCTGTCTCTGTCCCACTCTTTTAGTCATTCAACCTCATGGCTCCTTGTTCTTAGCTCCTTCAACCTTAGAGCCCCTTTTCTCACTCCGCTTGCCAGCTGGAAATTCTTACCAGATAGGAAGTCAGAAGTCACTTATTGCTTCATTCATAAGGCTGTTATATCAGTGTTACGATAAAATCTGTGCTACAGCTTTTGACACAGCAGTCATGCTATTGAACACTTCTCTTCTCTTGAGAAAGAACTTGGCAGACAGTCTTGGTTTATTGTCGGTCGTTTTCATATTTGTCATGAGATTTTCATAAGACTGCAAGTGGTGACATAAAAGTGTAGCATCTTTTATTACTGACTAACATCACTTGGCTTTTGATGTGAAAGTAAATCCATTTTGAAATTTTATGACAGATGTTAATGACAGTTTTGTGCTTATGTGAAAGCTTTTTATATCAGTCAGTTTCTTTTTTAAAGAATATATACTAATATGTTTTTGGTCTCTGGTCTCTTTCTAAAGTGTGAAACGTCTTGTTTGATTTTCTTGCATATAAAGCAGTAAAGAGTATAAATTAATGATTAGGATGTCTCAACTGAATTAGGTCAAAATAAAATTATGACATTTAAGGTTGTTAATATATTATTAAATATATTATTAAATCAGCATTTCTGGGAAAGATGCTTATACGTACTTTGGTTTTTAGCAAATTGTCCATAAAAAAATTTTTGTAGTCATTTTATCATTAAACAAAGCACTTCTGGATTAACCTTGTATTATTGCTGACTTTTCTCAAACATATCCCACTCCCGCATGACCATGGGTCTTTGGGATACCTATCCTCTAAATTATTTTAAGATATGAATGTCTGGGGAAAATGAAACAAGTTAGCAAACAATGGCTGACATCAATGACCACACAGTTGCACAATAGAAATCCCCTGGCGCATCACGACTTCCACTTTCTCCTTTCCCTCTTCCAGCACCCCTTCCCCTGCGGCGCAAGCACACACACACACACACAAATCTCACCAGTGAGCTGGCTGCAGGGGAGCGAAGAAGAAGCAGAAGCCACATTGCATGAGCAAATAGCAAATACCACTTTGGAAACATTTTAAGCATGTGGTGCCTTCAAAATTACAGTGGGTGATATCTAAATCATACTCTTGAGTAGGCGTATTGAAATGGGTAAATTCTGAGAATGTCTAATGTTAAAGTAACCACCCGGTATTTGTGAAACAAATATTTTTTTAAAAAAGCAAACTTTGCTCTGGTTCCTGATTCTGCCACCTGCTGCTTACAAGGGTATATGCCATTAAGTTTTCTTCAGAGTAGATCATGCTAATTAATTTTGATGAGCGTAAAGGTAAAGGGACCCCTGACCATTAGGTCCAGTCATGACCGACTCTGGGGTTGCGGCGCTCATCTCGCTTTATTGGCCGAGGGAGCCGGCGTACAGCTTCCGGGTCATGTGGCCAGCATGACTAAGCCGTTTCTGGCAAACCAGAGCAGCGCACGGAAACGCCGTTTACCTTCCCGTCGGAGCGGTACCTATTTATCTACTTGTACTTTGACGTGCTAGGTTGGCAGGAGCTGAGACCGAGCAACAGGAGCTCACCCCGTCATGGGGATTCGAACCGCCGACCTTCTGATCGGCAAGTCCTAGGCTCTGTGGTTTAACCCACAGTGCCACTCGCATCCCTTTCAATGGGCCTCCTCTGAGTGAAATCGCCACCTGTCAATCATTATCATGTCAGGTGATTTAACCCACTTTGCACAGCGCTTCCCAAATGTCGAACAATGCACTGGTTGCTGGGCGCTTGGGAAGCGCTGTGCAAGGAGATTTTCAAGCCCTATGCTTGGTGATTGGGAAGTGCTGAGCATAAAAGCCCTCTGCACAGCACATCCCAAACACTCAGCAGCTCCTTGAGTGTTTTGCATTTGCAAAGCACTGCTCAATCAACCAGCTGTCAGGTGTTTGGGAAGTGCAGTTCAAAGTGCTTTGCAAGCCCTGCACTTCACGTTCACAAAACCCTTGGGGAGCAGCGTGCAAGAGGCTTTTCAGGCACTATCGATTAATAGTGCCTGTGGTACACCTTTCAGCCAAGCCCCGCCCTTACCTGCTCCCATGTAGGATGTCCGATACAGGACAGGTGGATGTGGCTTGGCTGAAACAGTCTCACGGACTGGTTGTTCCCCATCCCCGATTTAAAAGAATGGAGTGGGAGGCATGAAATATTTTTGCAAGTTTGCTTCATTGATGAAGATAATTGATCTGTGAAAGATACGGAGGGGAGAGGGCAGAACCAAAGGGAAAGGAAGTGTTAATTATTTGAAGCCATCCTGATTCAACGGGGATTGGTTGTAACGTGCAGCCAAATCAATAAATAACATTTCTTTGTATGAGCACGTACTTGGGGTGTTCAGGACTGATCAAAAAGACAAAAGTGTATTGTTGCTAACCAGGCCCTAGTTACCAATGTTGGTATAATCTGAAACTTCCAAACATATTTGTTTATACAAAGTATATGGAATGTTGCCTAGCCTGACTGGCAGTTAAGAAATGCCTCTGGCAAACCGTGTGATGAAGAGTGTAACTAACACCTAATTTTCTAGTCAGTGCAATTATTATAACTTTATTCTGGTGACTAATAAATCAGTTTCTTAGTCCAATACCTGTTTATTAAACAGAAACAAAATTAGCACCATGATTGAACAGTAACTGTATATTAAAACTCAAACATAGATTTTAAAATCTGCTCTTTTTAGTTATAGAATCTTGTCTTTTTCTGAAGCAATTGATCGCGTACATCAGCCTGAAAAGCTGTGTTCTCTGTGCTTATGCAATTGCAAAAACTATTGCTTATGGTGAATCACAAGTTCCAGAAAAGGAAAATCTCTGTTGATGTAAGGTGTAAGGCAACGTAAGGCAAACACTAATTAGGAAAAATAAATTCTTAGCCAGCAAATCATTACTGTAATAGGAAACATACTACCCCAGAACCACCCCAAAAAGGCAATCCTGGGGTTGGGAGACTCTTGAGCAAGGTATGGCGCAGAGGGCTGCAGATGGATGGGTGATCTGGTGTAAATCATGGGACCCTTCCTCCTTTGTGCAACTGGAAGTGCTGCCCTGCATGCACTAAACATGTTTCAATCTTAGCTCATTTCATGAGCTATCAAGCTCCACAATGTGTGTTCAACTGTAGCTATGCATGTATACTTTATAGATTACAAATGCATCACATGCATGCTGTTTATTTTTTATCTTTATTTATTTCATAAAATTTATACACCACTTGATGGGGGGGGAAACGCTTCAAAAATAAAAGAAGAAAATTAAGAAAAATTGACAACAATACTTTAAAACAGGCAAAAGTTAACATGCTAAAAGAGATTAAAACTACCTCAACTTCCTAAGCATCTATAATTGTTATAATGCTGTTTGGATAGTATGCCTTATGGACTATCACTGGACTAGTTAACATTTATTTATTTATTTAAAATACCAGTATACCACAATTAAAATTATCAGAGCTGTTTAATATATATGTAAATTAAAACCACATAAAAATTTAAATAAGAGATCAATAATAATAATATATTTATAACCCGCCCATCTGGCTGGGTTTCCCCAGCCACTCTGGGGAACCACAGCTTCCAACAAAATATTAAAAATACAATAAAACATCAGACATTAAAAACTTCACCAAACAAGGCTGCCTTCAGATGTCTTCTAAAAGTCAGATAGTTGTTTATTTCCTTGCCATCTGATGGGAGGGCGTTCCACAGGGTGGGTGCCACTACTGAGAAGGTCCTCTGCCTGGTTCCCTGTAACTCCGCTTCTCGCAGTGAGGGAAGCCCCAGAAGGCCCTCGGAGTTGGACCTCAGTGTCCAGTCAGAATGATGGGGGTGGAGATGCTCCTTCAGATATACTGGACTGAGGCCGTTTAGGGCTTTAAAGGTCAGCACCAACACTTTGAATTGTGCTCAGAAACGTACTGGGAGCCAATGTAGGTCTTTCAAGACCGGTGTTATATGGTCTCGGCAGCCGCTCCCAGTTACCAGTCTAGCTGCCACATTCTGGATTAGTTGTAGTTTCTGGGTCACCTTCAAAGGTAGCCCCGCACAGAGCACATTGCAGTAGTCCAAGCGGGAGATAACCAGAGCATGCATCACTCTGGCGAGAAAGTCCACAGGCAAGTAGGGTCTCAGCCTGTGTACTAACTATTGCAGGAGATGTACTCTTTAACTGTCTCCATAAGCCTCCATTTATTTGTGAAACAGTCTGATCCTGAATCTAAAAGTTAAAAAAAAAATCCATGCAGTCTGAAAATAGTGATACCTGCTGGCTATTCTACCTTCATTCTACGATAAAGTGGCATTTGACTTTTTGACAAAAAGAGACCCTTTCGACTATTATTAATGGGACATGAATGCATTGATCTAGCAGCATAGAAATTTTCGGCAATAGTGCAGAAGGAGCATCAACCTCTGACCTTGCTTCGCCTCAATGTTCCATAATGTCTAGTGTCTGTAGCTGGA